AATCCCCGGGATTTCTCCCTCGTGTGAATACAGGAACCGTGCGGATCTAATTCAAGCCCCGACCAGGGCGCCCCTAGCGGCAAACGGGTCCGTTGTATCGGGCATCATCTGCCAGTCGCTGCGTTGGTTGTGCTAAAGTGTTGTGCGTTGTAGTGGGTTAGCGCTGTAATTTCTGAGATGGCTATTCGGCACCAAGAAAGCCGCAACAATTGCTGCGTGGTCGGCAAGATCGCGCACGGCACGAAGTACTACATCATCCCTTCGAAGCCGTACGAGGCGGAGTACTGCGCGACCTGGGTACGACTTGTGCGTCCATACAGGTTAGTGGAGTTTCTTACCTTCCAGTTCGCGCTTTGTTTAAGCTGCTGACGAATAATACAATTAACTTTTTTTCTCTTCTAGCAACGATGGAACAGCATCGACACCGACGGAAAACTAAAGTATGCAGCAAATACTTCACTGGAATCGAGAAGCGGAATGCGGTCGCCCTCCTAAGCCTACCGTTGGATGTTTCCATCAGCCTACAGGAAGATAGTAAAGAGAATCGCGGAACAGCGCGAAAAAAAATCGCCCAGTTATTGTCAAGCTGATTCAAAAATAAACGTACATAATTACCGCAGTCCACTCAACGCCAACAAAATTTTTTTGCGGGCGCGCTTAATTTTGTTTGCAGAGTACGGCGCTCCGTGACATCCACTTGTCCGTCGAAACGGACCTCCTTCACGTCGCACACGCGGCCAGATTCATGAAACAGTTTTCTCTTCGTCATAGCACCACGAAAGAAGCTTTCTGGATTCGTAACTGCCTTAAACCCCGTCGTAATCACCCCGGGAACACTGTCCGCTAGGCTGCTAATCGCCACTGCTTCCCCCTGATGATTCTGCACCGGCTACCGAAGAAGCTTTCCGGATTCTTAGTCGCCCACTGTCATCTGTGCTGTTCGTTGCTATTACTTCGCGATGATTCTGAGCCGGCGGCACCGGCTTCCGAAGGAACTTTCCGAACTCGTAACTGCCTTAAATTCCGTCGTAATCACGACGGGGACACTGTCCTCCGTGCTGTTCGTCGCCATTGCTGCCCGATGCTCCTGCGGCGGCTACCGCCAGGTCGCGGCGAACAATAGGCGACCGCCGCGACACGGCCGGCTTGCTCGCAAGGTAATTGTATCTATCGTTTCTGTTTGTTTACTGGCAACTGTGCAGTGACTTCTTGAATGTCATGGCAAGGTTGGGTAGTAGCAAGCGCAGTCACGAACAGGAGACTCGAGGGTATAGTTTCAGTACAGTGGCGTTTCAGTTTCGCCGGGTTGTGCATCTGTCGTCTGCTATGGTCTCCGCACTACGATTTCTCACGTCGTCGTGGATTTCTCCAGACTTGTACACAGTGCAATAAGTACCTTTTCCTTCTCGTCGCTAAATATAAAACACCACGAATAACGAAACAGTTACAACTTTGCTGGCACATAAGCGAGTGAAAATTCCGCATCGGCGAAGTCAAGTGAATGCAAATCAACGTACACCGAACGCTGTGCCAGCTCACTGCATGCATTTGTTTGCAACCTCAAGAACAGACACTGAGACTAGTACTGCAGCTTAATAATACACTTGCTTTCTGCGATCGGTACTTTTCAATCAAGCCATATAATGCGGTACATGACGGAACTCGCTAATGCTTTGAAGCGCGAACACGCGCATCTTGCTACATCGCTGTGAGAAAATTGGCCACGGGAACAAGGGTCTCGTAAAACATGACTACAATCAACTTGACTTCGCTGGAGACGATAGCAGATAACAGAGGCAGGGGCCTTCTTCCAAACTTTACTCATGGCGAATTCCACTGGGCGTTTTGGAGCGCGCCGGGATCAGTCGACCAGATCCGAATTGGAGCACAAGATCCGAACGGGGTCGCGCCGCCTACGGATCCCCAGTGGAACATGACCACTGCTCCGGGATCGGCGGATGCCTTCCCGATCGGGGTCGCGCCCGGGAATCCCCTTTTCGCGGCCGCCGCGGTCGTTTCGAAGACATTCTCACTACGCGGCGCTAACACGTGTTCGACGCACGAGTGGCAGGAATGGCACAGGCGCTTCTAGCAAAGATTGCCGGAATGCCCGTAGCGCGGCAAATACCTTCTCTTCTCCTTCCTGGAAAACGAACCGGCTGTTGAGCCAAGCAAGCGGCCATTACGAATTCTTCTGATGTCGAGACAATCTAGGAGCCCAGCCCGCGACGTGCTTCTTCTTCTTCTGAGGCGAGATTCCCCACGAGAAAAGAAGTCACGTGTTTGCGCCGAGGGCTGGCCCGGCTGGCTTCCGGTTAAATCTGCCGAAATCGTGAGAGCGACTTTTCTCGTGGCGAATTCCACGGGTCGTTTTGGAGCGCGCCGGGATCGACTTTTTCGGAGCGAGCCTATTTCCCTGGGCGATCGGGATCGAGACAAAACTTGTTCCACTGGTCGTTTTGGATTAGCTCCCGCTCCAGATCTCGATCTGGATCCGAGAAAGTCGCTCCCCCGATTTTGGCGGATTCAACCGGAAGCCAGCCGGGTCAGCCCTCGGCGCACAGACGTGACCACAGTGGACGTGACTTCCTTTCTCGCGGGGCATCTCGCCTGATCTCGCCTCATAAGAAATGGTAATGGCCGCTTGCTTACCCCTTGGCTCGACAGCCGGTTCGTTTTCCAGGAAGGAGAAGAGAACAGAAGGGTGAACATGATTGTAAACCTGAGACTGGGGCAGGAAGAGAACACAACAGAAGGTAGTAAAAGGTTTTGTCGCGCTACGGGCATTCCGGCGCTCTTTGCTAGACGCTCGTGAGCCATTCCTGCCGCTCGTGCGTCGAACACGTGTTAGCTCCGCGATTGCAAAAACGTTGATGCTTGGAACTTGGAATCACCCGCTACCAGACACCTGATTTGTTTAAAAAATACCCAGGACGTTTTGGGGCAATGAATCGATCACATAGCAGGCGGTAGACGAGTAGACAGCGTTGAAAAATATTTATTCCGCCGATTGTTATGAAGGCCGATGGTGTCGGTGTCGCAGTTTTGAAGCACTGTCAGTTCAGCTCAACACCACGTTACAAAAGACGGTTTGGGGTACTGCCGGTGCTAACGCAATTTCACAGTAGAAATAGGAATTGCATGAAAGAACCGGACAGAAACACTTCATACGGTGGCGTAAATGCCGAACATATATCAGCGATGTCACTTTCCTCGGTTAGGGCTATCTGCTTTGTCAACGAATGATGAACATCTCGATAAAATAAAGAGCGGAAAATACTCCCCGTGTCAAGTTTTCTAATTACAGCCACTGGTTGATGTCGTACCGTGGTAATTCCCGGCCCTTCAAACGCACTAGCACTTTGTAGAGTCACATTTCCAGCGATTCCGCGCCGCACACGAACGAAGGTAAACAATCAAGATGGCGGAGTGTTCCCCGTATTGTCCTCGCCGTCAGCGCGGTGTGACAGGGTTGTCGGATAACAAATCGGGCAACACTGTTGCCGGGCGGCAGCAACATGTTGCCCGACTGTTGTTGCCGCGACGTGACAGGGTCGTCGGCAACACGACTTCCCCGTGTTGCCGGATAAAAGTTGTCCATCTGTTCCCTCAGTGTGACAGGGTCTTTACCCCTTGGTTCGACAGCCGGTTCGTTTTCCAGGAAGGAGAAGAGAAGGTTTTGGGGGATCGCGCTACGGGCAATCCGGCAATCTTTGCTAGAAGCTCCTGAGCCATTCCTGCCGCTCGTGCGGATCGAACACGTGTTAGCGCCGCGATTACGAAAACGTGTTCGAAACGACCGCGGCGGCCGCAGAAAGGGGATTCCCCGGCAGTTGAATGACATGAAGGCAAATGCTGATCCCGGAGCAGTGGTCATGTTCCACTGGGGATCCATCGCCGGCGCGACCCCGTTCGGGTTGTGAGCTCCATTCCGGATCTGGTGAACTGATCCCGGCGCGCTCCAAACACCCAGTGGAATTCGCCATCGGATCCAGATCGAGATCTGGAGCGGGAGCTAATCCAAAACGACCAGTGAAACATGTCGGTCTCAATCCCGATCGCCCAGTGAAATAGGCTCGCTCGAGATAAGTTGATCCCGGCGCGCTCCAAAACGACCTGTGGAATTCGCCATCAGTCTTACTCCAGAGTGCTCCAGAGTAAGGGTTTTGTACCATGGCGTTCTACCCGCGTCCTCAGTTTTTCAATTTGTGTTGTCATATGACACGACCCTCTCCCAGCCCCTTCTACTTCAGTGGAGTGAATGGTAGAGAGGAGGTCGCCTAGCTCCTCTCCAGCGTTCGCACTACTAAAGTGGAAAGAGGTGGGAGGAGCTTCTACTTCGTTCTTGACCTGTCACCGATTATAGTGTGTTTACCGCGCGTCAAAAAACATACTCTCAATTTTTGCCTGGTGATGTTCAGAAGTGTCACCAGGATCGCCGGTCTCGATCCTGGTGGTGTTCCAGCAGCGGTGGTTCGTGTGGCAGGTGCCTGTTCTGCTGCAGGTCGCTCTTTCAGTCCACGGAAGCTTCAGCAGTTAGGACGCCGTGACGACAACGACACTCGCGCGCTTTTCTCGAGCAGTTCAACTAACCACCAAGATCGCGACATGCAACAACATAACACGCCGGCTCCTTTGACGTCATTGGTTGCCACTTGCGGACCATAGAGTTATGTTGCGGACCACTTTTGATGTATGGGCAGCATAGTACGCTAAACGGTGTGCTAAACACACCAATTGGAGACGCGCTCAGTCAGATGAACAACGCTGCGAAACCGGAACCGAAACTTTCTCCCTCTCTTGTCTCCTGCTCTCTGAGCGACGTTATTTTGCAGATTTCCTTGATGTTTCCATTGACAAAACGTCTATAAAGGTAAAATAAAGGCTGATTTTTGCGAGCTTAAGCTGCTCGGCACCGTTTTGGCCAAAACAATGTACTCTGGGACTTTTTTTTTTTATTTTTTAATTTTTTTTAGTTCCAGTGCAAGTTGTTACGAGCTGTGGCTGGCAACATTGGACGCTTCTTGGCCGGGCGAGTGTTGTACACGTGCTTGATGGTGTTTGTCAAGTGAAATCGGCGCGCTCGGCCCTTTCTGCGTCAAAATGACCCGTAAGAAGATTGACAACAGACTGCGTGTTCTAATCGAGAACGGGGTTCACACCGGGCACCGGACAATGTTCGTTGTCGTCGGGGAAAAGGGACGGGATCAGGTGAGTTTTTTTCGATCGGCGCCTACGCTCCCCAGAGGCGTCCTGCGAGCATTTTGGAGTGTCGTTTCAAATATTGTGCCCATTTGGGCACACAGGAGTACACCTTACAATAAACATCGGTCGACGCTGCATTTAAGCTTGCTAATTTTCGTTTCCTTTTTTCTTCGCGCGTGGTATTTTTTTTTTTCCTGCTCGCTGAAGTTGTTTCGACCAATTCTGCATGAGGTGTTAGAACCAGAAACTGACCGTTAAGCACGTACGCCGAATTGTAAAGCCTTCAAGGGACACTGGCAGGGTATTTATGCTGGCCGAGGTTTTTAGTTGTACGTTACATGTACCCAGAACAGAATTTGCGGCTCGAAATTCGGTTTCATTCCGCCTGAAAACCGCCGATCGTGGCCTGGCCGGTTTGAGTCGCGCTCACTCTCTTCTCCGTGGTCACAGGCCGTTTTCTGAGGTTAAAGGTCCTGGCTCATTGAAAGCACACATTCAAGATTAAATATATAAAAAATACGAAACTAATTTTTTGTGGCTTCCAAAAAGCTGCAAATGCGTTGATCGAAAAAAAGGATAGAGGTACACCTAAGCACTTTTTATGAGTTGTGAATGCGAAAGCATGTACATCATTCTTTAAAAAAAATCGTAAGGGTGCAGACGAGCGGGTGATTATTAACCATGTTGAATTAACCTGAGACTGGGGTAGAGAAGAACCATCAAAACCTAGAAGAGACAGAAAATAGACAGGACGACGTCTCAAACTCAGCTAACTCATTTATTTAGTCCACCTCTCTGCCCGCATTTTCCTCCCGTGCCCAGGTGGTCATACTTCATCACATGCTCTCCAAGACGACGGTAAAGGCCCGGCCTTCTGTCCTCTGGTGCTACAAGAAGGAGCTTGGGTTCAGCACGTGAGTATGCGCCTCTCCGTCTGTGTCTTGCCAGAGTGACGGCGCTGGCCGAAACAGAGCCTCCCTTACAACTCTGCTGGCGTCAATCCTTTCCAGCTGGTCTATGACAGGCAGTTGTTGAAAAACGATGGGCCGAGCACAGTTTGGAGGGATCCACAGTGTGTTTTCTGCGATAAATAATTACAGAACCCGAGTGCATGGTTTGGGGCTTCGATCCTGATAAATGAATTAAAAAGATGTTGGGGGCCATGCAACAATTTTTGGACAGAGGTTAAACGATCCTGGGAGTTGATCTCTGTCACGTTTAGAGTAAGGGCCTGAAAAACGATTTTTCCTGCTTGCATTAGTTTTTATTTAATGAGATAGCAACTATTCAAACTTTTAGTGCCTCTTGTACTCAGTCTTCCGGGGCACGTGTGCCGTGACGTGCACTTGATTGCACCTATTGTCTTTAGCACCTTCGACGCTGCTTTTGTTTACTGCCGAGCCACGATGCGGTTGGCAGAGCGGAGGAGTAGCAGACTGTTCACAGCACGGAAGGAATTGCTTGTCAAGGGGAGAAACGCTGCGAGAAAGCTTTCGCGGACGACATGCGTAGAAAATACACAGTTGATCTGCTTTCCAGTGCCTTTCCTTTGTTCCCATTTCCTGTCTCTGGTGTGTTCACCTGTGGAGGAGTTTAGCCAGTGGGTTCTGCAAACTGTATTCTTAAAGAACCACTGAAAAGAAATGTGTGTCAAAAAATAAATTTTATGCAAAAAAAATTTTTTTTAGAGCAATATTAAAGACGCGAGACACAGTTTAGTTGGTAGTCGCTTTCTTTCCACTTGCTTTCTCTTGGCATTTCAGGCACGTGGAGGAGAGAAGCTGCGGCAATGAGAAACTGTGGCCATCATGTTGAGGTGGAAAGAGTGTAGACCATTCCGTGACATCATAGACTTTGCGCGCATAATTAAGACACAACTAAAATAAATCTCGCGCCGTCAATATTGCTCTAAATATTTTTTTTGCAGTAAATTCATTTTTTTACACGCATGGCCCTACCAGTTTGTTTAAAAAAAAAAAAAATTCCTTTTTCTTTTCACTGGCCCTTTAGGGTTGCTCTTTCATCTTGTGTCTGAACATGTGCGTATGCATATCTTGGTAAATAATTCAAATGTGTTTGAGACAAGCTTAAACAAACACAAAGCAGCTGTTTCTTCCTAATCAAATAAAATAAAAGATACATGCAGCAAATAAGAGGTTAGGGTGGTCGTTGAAAGGTATTTAAAGAGCAAGTCGTCTGCGTCTTGTGTGGGGGATGCGGTGACGTCAGAGCGACGCCGAGTTCCGTTTGGCTTTGATTGGAAGGATAGTGGGGAGACCTCGATGCTAGATGCCGTGAGGTCTACCCACTATTTTTTGAATCAGCCAATAAGAGCTTGGCATTCTGACATCATTGCAACCCCTGTGTAAGAAGCAGACAAACTTGCCCTCTGCATAAGCGTATAGTAAGGTGCGACCCATCTTGTTTGTGAAAACTGCTGTTTATAGGCGGGTGCGACTTGTAGACCAGAATATACGGTAGCTTAATCTGCAATGTTGTCTGTAAAGTCAACCTGAGACTTTAGAGGCCGACAACAGGCTACAGCGCGTTAAAATTTAGCTGAATAACAACCCACAGAATTCTAAGCGAGCAATTTAGGGAAAGGACGAAACACGGAACATCGTTCCTAATAGCTTCTTGACCTAGAACATCGCTCCTAATAGCAACCTGACACGAATCGAATCTTGCAAAGTACAGTTAAAAAAGCTAGCATTGGCCAGCCTTGTAGTACTCCGCATCTGCCAGGGCCATTACACACAGGGGCGTGTAATGCTCCTTCTTTAAGGGATAATGAATGAATGAATGAACACAGCGTTTGCTGAACATGCCTTGGTGCAAGCCTGCTTCAGAATTGGGCTGCACAGGTTAGTTGAAAGAAATAACTTGATCAGCACTGCAGGTGTAAACAATGTCATTTAGTACAGGCTTGTCTGTCTCCAGGTTTGTTTGATCTTTGCAGGAAGGTTGCATGAGAGGAGGAAATGTTTTTTCTTTTGTTGAGATTATAACAGTCAATCGATCTGTTTGAACCTGATGTTGATCGATCTGATGTGCACACACTATTCCGCGGGAGTTAACATCTTAATTCGTTGCAAAAAATGCTGTTTTGACCTTTGTCGTGCGACTTTTCACTATCATCTCTGCAACGACGACCGTTTAGGCTGCAATGGCTTCAACGACATTTACCACTCCAGCGTTACCTGTCTGTAATTTTGTAAGTACTAATAGTAAAACGTAATTAAACACCCTTACTTTCAGTCGGGTAATGAACAAGTTATTTGGAGTATTTAAATTACAGTTCAAACAACTGCGATTGAATTACTGCCCAAGTATGGTTTTTTTAAGAGTCACCCGCAGTTTATGGCCTTCCGGTTGTTAAAGGTACTGTGCAACAATGTTTGGACACCGGTCAAATGATTGGGGTAGTTTTTTTCCTGTCATTGCGCGTCTTGCCTTAATTCTTATGGCGACCACCCTGCGGCTGCAAATTGCGAAATATTCACGTTCTTTTCTTGGCTATTACGTGACGGAATTGGAAAATTGAAAAAAGCATGTGGTGGTTTCTGCATTTCTTATGGTAAGATAATGTAGAAATTTAAAACTGCAAATTCTTTCGAAGTTCAAATTGTTGCATCGCCTATTTAACGGGCATTGCTGCATCCCAACCTTTGGACAAGTGCAGGCAGGGAAGGCAATGTCTCGAGCCAGGCGTTGCTCATCAGTTTGCGACTGCCACTTGCCGGTCACCCCTCACACCAAGCTTCTATTCGGAACCTAGAATTCCTAGACAGGACGGAGTGAAATAAAGTGTGACTTTGAGAGGGCACATTTCCAAGTGTGTCGGATATTTTCGATAAATTGGGAACGTGTTTGAATGTTGATACCGGGACACGTTTCTCTGCAGGCGACACCCACTGCGAGATGTCTCAACGTATCCAAATTTGTAATAGAAGGCGTGCGACTCTTGGCTACCTCATGTTCGTTCCGTCACTTTTCAGGCACCGGAAAAAGCGTATGCGGCAGTTGCAGAAGAAGATCAAGAGTGGGAAGCTGGACGTGAACGAGGAGGATCCATTTGAGCTGTTTGTTGCGGCCACAAACATCCGCTACTGCTACTACCAGTGAGTGGCCCCTTGCTCCGGCGTGCCTCGCTTCCCGACCACCGAGGCACGGTCTGCCCGCGCTTTCTAGGACAAACATTTTTTGGAACGTCGCATTTGCAATAGTGGCTTAAAAGATTGTATTTTCGGTCACCTTTTAAATTTGTGAAACTGCATAATTTTGCTAATTCTCTAAATGACTCCCAGTATCGTCGATGGATGTAGATTGACTGCACGGATAATGGTGCATCGAGGCAATGCGTTGTATTTTGCGTGGTCGGCTAACCAGTTCAACGTCTCGCTTTTGCCACGCGTTGGACGGTGTCCTGTTATAACCGAGTGTGTGTCAACGGAACTCCGAAGGATGTTTGCCTTATCTGGAATTTACAAAAAATAACCACAATTTTTATTATACGCACGGCAGGTAACGATTACGCAGCATATAGTGTGACACATTTGCGTAAAAGCTGCTCTTTTCTCGTAAATGTACAATTCTCAAAGTAGCCGCAATAAGGCTGCGTTTTTGTTTATTGCAGTAGCCAAAGCTCCATCTCGTTTTAACGTTTGGAAGTGTGTTTCTCACTCCTATTGTTTTTGTGGGGCGCAGCTGAGGTGCACAATCCATGTGTGATTCTCTCTGATTATCCTTAATGCCGCTCCGAATTTGTTGGAAGGGGGCTGTGTGCAATGAACGTTAGTCCATTATATCTACTATTTTACTTTTTCTGGGTTTTTACGACTGGGTTTGTCCGCTCTAGTCTAGATTTTTTCCTGTGTTTTGATCTGTACAGTTCAGATTATACATTTACCGTATTTTCCGGATAATAGCCCACACCCGGTGCATATTAGGCGGAGGCAAATTTCAGATAAACTATTTTCTCTTAAATAGTCCGCGCCTAGTGGTGTTTGTCTGCATATAAAAAAATCTAGTTTCCTGCTACCTAAACAAATTCCCCGTTATTAGCTCAGAAATAGGCTGTATAATACATAACTTTTAGTGGGTCCTATACAACCTCTGATGTTAACCAAATACCGGTATTGTCCTTCTTTTTTGCCTATGGACTCAGTGGCACTTGATGCGATCAATGTGGCTGGCGTTATTAATTATTTGAAGCTTTCATCCTGTGCTGGAATATATGGGATCAACAGAAAGTTCTTCAAAAATTCAGATATGTATTGTTCAATAATTCTCTCAAAACTTTATATGCAGTCCATGGCATAGTCCTAAGGGGTTGGGTGGTTGGGAAGGTGGTTCCTTTACCCATATCTGGCGAAAAGCGGAACCCGTCCAATTATCGACCGATTTCTTTGACAAATGTGCCATGTAAAATATTTAAACACATAATTTGTTTGCAGTTGATAGATTCTCCTGAAACTAATGACTTCTTCACAATTTCAAACATGGCTTTAGAAAACATTTTTTGTGTGAGACGCTGCTATTATCTTTCACGCATGATCTCCATCATTCTCTTGATAATCATGGTGAAACTGATTGTGTATTTTAAGATTTCTCAAAAGCCTTTGGCAAAGTTTCCCACAAGCTCCTTCTTTATAAATTACAATCACTTAACATTGACTCCTATACAGTGAAACCCGTTTAGAACAAACCCACGTAGAGCGAACTATTGTCGATATCGAACTCACGAAAGATTGAAATAAAAATGCATGTAAAAAATTGCGGTGGCTTAGCTCGGCTATGCTAGGATATACGTAGCGTGAGCTTATGTGCACGAAATGAGAGGTGCTTCGGTGCAGCGTCAGACATTGCTACTGCGCAATGGAGGCGCACAGCTGGGCACACGGCGCCAGTGCGTCTGCCGCTGCTATGACGTCACTCCTCTGGAATGCGCAGACCGGCGAGGTGGGCGCGGCGGCGGCTTTGCGTGGCTCTCATAATGAGCCGTGCTCATTATGCGAGCCGTGCTCATTATGCGGAGCTCCGCCGCCGCGCGCTCCGCATAATGAGCACGGCTCATTATGAGGGCCACGCGAAACTGCTCAACTTCGGCCAGTGTAGCTAACGCTACAAAAGTATGTTTTACAACTGACAACATATTGGCTATATCGAACTTTTTCCCCCCGGGAAGGCTTCTAAAACGCGCAAACAATCGTCTTCTAGCCTGTCCCTTCCCCCAAAAAAGTAGGAAAGAAAGAAAATTTCAAAAGCTCTAGTTGCGATCAAAATTGAGCGAAGAGAAGCTAATCAGAAGGGGAGAAAGCTAAAAATTACACTCTGCACGCACTCACAGAAAAAAAAGATATTTTCATCCCACAGCATTTGCCCACGAAGAGAAGCGATTCAGAAAGGGAGATAAGCTAAGAGAACAAACCCTGCACGCATGCAGAAAAAAACAAAAACAAAAAAAAACAACTTGTTACAAGGCAGAAATGAAGAGATGAGAAAGAAAGAGAAGCTCTCGCTTACAACAAACTCATCGTGGAAGTTCATTGTAAATGTTTTTTGCTAGATCAATCTATTTGCTATATCGAACTGATCGTAGCGTTTCCTGCTGTTCATTTTAAACGGGTTTGACTGTATACTAAATTGGATTGATGCCGTTTTAAATAACCACCTAAAATCCGTTACTGCTAATAATATGAATTCTTGTATTGTTCCAGTCACCCCGGATGTCCCACAAGGCTCAATGTGTGGCATGCTACTCTCTCTTGAGAGCAATCCTCTGGCTTCAATGTCCGTCTATATATATCTTGGTGTTCATGTAACGTCTAACCTTTCTTGGAAGGTTTATATTGAATATGTAATTAACAGTGATAACCATATATTAGAATACTTAAAAAGAAATTGCTTTCTCGCTCCGTCTTCATTGAAACCAACCATGTACAAAAGCCTAATCCATCCAAAATTAGAATATGCTGCTGCTGTGTGAGGTCCCGCTCACTCGTCACTACTGAATCCATTCAAAACTCGCTCAGCTCGTTTCGTATTGACAAACTGTCGTCGCACTGCTAGCGTTTCTTCCATGAAAAAGACTAGTTCTGCCGTTGCTAATTCACAGCTGAAAATCTGGTTTGTGTCTTTTTCATAAGCTATTTCATAAAAATGTCACCCCTCGTCATAAACTAGTTACTTCAGCTTTGTACATCTCTGCTTGTCATAAGGTAGCCATAAGGTTTGCATTCCAAATTTTAGAATGTCACTATTTTGATGTTCTTTCGTGTTTCAAACATAGGCTGGAACCACCTTCCCTCTTCGATTGCTAACATCACCAATACTGTTTTGTTTAAACATACTGTTGCTTATATGTGCACTTTATAGCTAATATCTTGGAGTTCTCTCCCCTCTTCAATGGTTTCCATTTTGACTCACATTTTAAGTAAGATTTAACAATATAAAGTACCCTATTTTTCGCAAAGCAAATGACGTAGTGTCTTTTATTAATTTTTTTTAACGTCAAATCACTCATTATCCCGAAGTTTTCGGAATTGAGGGGAGTTTCCCTTGAAGTCCGACCGCAGCCGACACTGATTGGACGTAGTCCATCAAGCAGCGCCAGAAGTGCTTCGTCTCTATGCATCTGATATCACCGGCGAAGGCAATCGTGCGCAGCAAGTGCGCCGTGATCCCGCCCTTTTTTCTGCGCACGATAGTTTAGCGGTGATGGAAGACGCACAAAGATGAGGAACGCCATTGTGCGCTTTGGGTTCCCCTTAATTGGCTTGGATGGATCGTTAGCGTGACTGTGGGACCGAGAAGGAGTCCCCAGGGTCTCACAGATGCTCACTGCAGAGATACGTTGGTTGTGCGTCAAAAGGCCCCTGGGTGGTGGAAAGGAATCCCCCATCCTTTATGTGGCAGATCCCTCCCTTCAATTTGATCCGTTGTGTAGCGAGCGTGTCCCCCCGTGCAGCGAGACGCACAAGATCCTGGGCCAGACGTATGGGATGCTGGTGCTGCAGGACTTTGAGGCCATGACGGCCAACGTGCTGGCACGCACCATGGAGACCGTGGAAGGGGGCGGCCTGGTGGTGCTCCTGCTCCAGTCCATCTCCTCCCTCCGGCAGCTCTACACCCTCGCCATGGTGGGCATGCGGGGCTTGGGGCCAGAGCACATTCCTAACCTACCAAACGCGCCTTGGTTTTCCTCTCCACGGCAACATTGGCCCGAGGCCAAAGTTGCCGGACGGAGCCAAAGTTTCGGTTTCGATTTCTTCTCCTGTTTGAAGTAAGATTTAACGATGCATGTATTCATTTTTCGTGAAGCAAATGATGAAGTGTCTTTTATGACTGCTTTTTAATGTGAAATCACTCCTTATACCAAAATTTTCAGAATTGAGTGGAGCTGCACTTTAAGGTTGTTTCTTAAAGTTAGGTCGGTTACCTGACTTTGACCAGTTGCAGCTCTCACAATATTTATTTATTTATTTACCCTCAGGGCCACAGGCGTTACAGATGAGGGTTAAGTACACAAATAAAAAGAAAAAGACAGCATACAGCAAAAAGATTATACAGTAGTGAGGGCTCTTTACGAAAAAAGGTTATTATGGCAGTTCTAAAACGCATACTATCAGGGATTTCGGCGATGACTCCAGGAAGGGGATCCCACATTGTTGAGGTGCAACTAGACGGAATGCCAACTTTGTGATGGTGATCGGTGCATGCTGAAACATAATGAGGTGCTGTTAGTTGTGAAAGGAGAGGTAATGATAAGCTTGATCTCATGGCAGTCATGCTAGATGTACGATGGCAGTTGGAAAGCGTAAAACGAGATAAGTGATTTTGAAGAGATTTCAATCGTGAAATAAGCTATTCATGACATGGAGCCCAGATGCAAGCCGCATATTCTAATTTAGTGTGTACTAATCTTTTATAAAGTAGTAATTTTAATGAAATGGGTGCAACAGATAAAAATATTTTCCGGAGATAACGTAGCGTGTGATTCACATTATTTACAACATAATTGATTCAAAGCATCCATGCAGGACAGGTTATTGTCACGAATAAAAAATTTTTTACATATGTGAAACTCAACATGAATGTTTAATGAGGAAAACTTGCACCTACCAACTAAAAAGGCAGGTATCGAGCGTCATGTGTCAGCAACAGAGGGGTGACTGTCTCGAAGCTGCGCGTTACTGCCGATTTTATACGCCGGATACATTCAGGAACGTTCTAAACCAGAGCACTCGGCAACAGTCAAGAGCGGGTTGTAAGGCTTCAGAAGAACTACGGTGCGCGCACCATAGTTTTCCGATTTAATGGTCTTTGTTTGGAGGCGTGAGATACGGTGAAGGTCTAGCGAAGGTAATGTCTGGAGGTGGGCTAGTCGGTGGTGCATTGTAAACATATAAATAAAAGAGCGCAAACAAACACAAGGACAAGTAGAAGAAGGGACACAGACACAGCGCTGATTCACGGCTTACTCTCTTTTTTGTCTTCTTAAAACACATCAACATGAGAAGACAAAGAAATAAAAAGAAGAATCCAACATGTTGGATATCCTCACTGTCATGTGCCGTCCGAAGAGTTTCTAACAGAAAGTATGCCATTACGAAAAACAGATGAAGAAGGAAAATAAGTAGTGGAGAAACATATAACTAAGCATTGTTCCAACTCTGGTCTGAGCAAAGCCAAAAGTACAGCGCGAGCCCCAAAGCTTTGTGCGTACCTGTCTTGCACGCGGCCTCGTGGTGTGGGGGCACCGTTTTTAGGCTGCATGTGCGCACTTGTAGCTATAGGATCGCTTCCACGGAATCAGAAAGAAAGTATTAAACGAACACGCCTAAACTCCAAACAAACTCAAACTCTTCACTGGATAACGCAACTGACTCTGAACTTGCGCATAGATCGGGACCGTGTTGTCAAATGTAAAAAGCTTCATGAATTTCCCTAGCCATTTTTTGTGAATGTTTCAATGTCACCTAGCTGAGGAGAACAGCCGCACCTATTGCAATGAACGGCTAGGTGACCTGAAGGTAAAGACCTCAAAGACAGAGAATGCTCCCGTGCTCTAACATTAATACATCTGCACGTCTGCCCAATACACACTTTACCACAGGAAAAGGGTATCTTATACATGACCCCCACAGCACAAGTTACATATTTGATGCGATGGTTTATCCCACACCCTACATGTTGAAGTCCTGCTCTCTCAATGGAAGCGGACAAACAAGATAACTTGGAAGGTGCTGAAAAGACTATAGGGACTTGGTATTTAACAGCCACTTTTTTAATCCTGTGGGAGAAGCTGCGCAAATATGGTATTACCACCGGTGGAGAAGCAGGTTTTTGTCTAGCGTTGTCAAGTATGCTAAAGGGATTCCCGAATAATTTTAAAAGTGTACTCCGCTACCCCCCATGACAAGTTTCGGGAAACCCGCTTTTGTTAACCTATCGACTTGAACCAGAAAGGAGTCACTTTTAAAAGCTTGTATTGCAAATGGGTGACCCTGACGGAGTGGTTGGGAGAACAATCCGCACACACTGCCCGGCTGCCACTTTGCAGGACGTGCACGCGAGGTACCGCACGGAGGCACACCAGGAGGTGGTGGGGCGCTTCAACGAGCGCTTCATCCTGTCGCTGAGCTCGTGCGAGGCCTGCCTGGTGGTGGACGACCGGCTCAACATCCTGCCCGTGTCCACGTCGGCTGCCGGCATCGCCCCGGTCCCTCGGGCGCCCCAGGCAAGTCTTGGGGCCACTTGGGTGCCAATTGAGAGAGAGACGACGGTCGGGGAATAAGGGCCAAAAGGTGCTCTCCATGCCCGGATGAGTGCCCCCTCCGTTCTTTCGACGTGGTCGAAAAACGAGAGAAGGACTCACAAAGTCTTCTCATTCGAAAGGTGTTAGAAGACCCACGGAGGACCTTGCGAGTGCCAGTCATGGGGGCAACTCTGGCGACGATGGGGGATGGCAGTCGCGGGTCGTACGCGCCCACGGCGTAAGAAATACATCAACTCAGAGTTACAAACAAACCGGAGCGCCCCTAGCGGATACCACCGGCGCCGCTCATTCGCGATGGAGCAAGAAGCTCGCCGTCGCCCATAAACAGGCCATTGAAGTGCGATGTCGTCTGTGTCGGGAGGAGTCTCTGTGCTCTTTTTTGCGTTGGAATTGTTGATTCTCATTTTATGCACGAAATATTGCGGCTCGGAAGAGCTCAGCAATTGTTGCTCAATGAAACGCGATTTCATTGAAGACGTTTCATAGAATAGTAAAAATTTCATTGAATGCCGTTTCATAGAACACCATCTCATCAAATCGCCTGACAACGTTTCATTGAATTTTGTTCCTGTTATCAAATTACTGCATATATAGTGACTACATTCTTCATTTTTGCACTTAGAATTGGTTTCTGATAGTGACTACTGAGTAGGCTTTCACGAAAATTATGTTGTTTAGCTTTTGCGAATTACCCGAATGGTAAAAAAAAAGATATTGCTTTTCTTCTTCACCAAAGCGAACAGACTGGACATTTATACTAACCGAGCCAAACTTTCCTACTGTATTTTGAGTGTTGTTTATCCCGTGCAATATTTTTGGTCGTGTTCGAGTTTTTTTTTGTTTTTTTTGTTAGAGAGTTAAAGGGAAGCTACGGAGCTTCTTGGAAAAAATGAGTTAGAAGTGAGTTCTAGTGTATTTTTACCCCGTGAACCCGAATACCCAAACCATTTGCTGCGTAAGTATTCTTAAACGCAAGAAAAACGCGAAAGATAGTCGCTGTACGTGACGTCATCGACGGATCTTTTGGCTTGCCAAGGCTAGGGAGGCGGGGCTTCAGTCCTATATTGAAATTGCTCGTACGGCTCTCCGGCGCGTCGCATTGAAATATAATTTTGATATCTATTATTCTAAAAGCCAAATGAACGCAATTCAAGCGTTTTTTCTCAAATGTAGAAGTGCCCCATCTTCCCTTTAAACAGTTTGCTTGTGTGTATGTCCAGCCATACAAGTTTGTAAATTGGGGTGCGAATTTTAGAATATTTGTTTTTGTACAGATTCGAATGGCCATTGGGACGAATTTATTACGATTAGAGGAACAAATGTATGTTTTGCTAAATTATCCAAGCACGAAGGAGCGTGCAGCGAGTGTACTTACGCGTACTGCACATGCTATTAAGCAAATTTTTTGTTCTGCCTAAGCGATTTCTTTTAGATTTGTGTCGTTTTCCGTACTTGAGCATTTCATCATCATTGGGTATGGAAATAGTTGTTGCTGCCGATCCTACCATTCTTTTGACCCTTTCGCAGCAAAGGCAGATTATGCTGGCATTACACACAAAATAAGAATGTAGCCACTCAGTCCTATATCTCGAGCCACGGCGCAGTGCATTGATAGAACTGTAGTGCAGCAGTACGATGAGCAGGATTCTAGAAAATATTAGAAAGTTTCAATATTCTCAAAACCCGATGAAGCTACTGCGGTAAAAAGAAACCAAAAATGAATCGCCAATGGACAGAGTGTGCAAGTAAAGGCAGTGGTGACAGGAAGTGCAGGGCGTCTTTTCCCGGGACATTGTCCTCTCAACCATGCTCTCAACAATGAACGTACGCGGGTCGCGCAAGCAGACGATTGGGTGAAAGTAAGAAGGGAGAAGGAAACTCGAGGCTACAGGTGCCAGAAAAGCCTGGTTCAAAATTGGCACGCGGCGTTCCACACCATTCGCTCGTACGAATAGGAAACTCCGCCCCGGTGGTTCAACTAATGGCTTCTTCAAGATGGCCGCCATGGTATCGCAACCTGAACATACACGAAAAAGCAACAAAACATACCCATAAGGTCTGTGCCTATTTTTCTTTTAGCTCGCTTCGCAAAAAAACAGAAGTAGCATGCGTCATACAAGAAAAAATAAACTCTACGAGCGATTTAACAACTTCAGCTCGCCACACCAGAACGAATGCAGCCAACCTGCTGTCCGCTTTCTTTCTCCACTCTTCGATCGCTCTCTTTCTGGGTCTTTCTCCGGGGACTACCGACGTGGGTGCTGACGACTTGCCGCCTTCCGCAGGACCCGGAGGCGTCTGAGCTGGCGTCCCTGCGGGCGTCCCTGGAGGACAGCCAGCCCCTGGGGGCCCTGGTGGCCGTGTGCAGCACCTGCGACCAGGCCCGGGCCCTGCTCAAGTGCGTGGACGCCGTCGCGGAGAAGACCTTCCGCACCACGGTGGCCGTGACGGCCGCCAGGGGCCGGGGCAAGTCTGCCGCCCTGGGCCTGGCCGTGGCCGCGGCCGTGGCCTTCGGCTACTCCAACGTCTTCGTGACGGCCCCCAGTCCGGAGAACCTCAAGACCCTCTTCGAGTTCGTGCTCAAAGGCTTTGACGCGCTCAAGTACGAGGTGGGTGGCACGGCGCAAGTCATGCGGGTATGACGCGAGTACGATCTGACGGGCGTGTTTGCCGCATCCAACAAAGTGGTCCCTCGATGTCTGCCCAATGACGTCGACGTCATGAGAGTGTCATCTCGTCTCAGGTCGCGACCCTGGCTTCGGCAGCCGTGGATGAGGACACCGTAACGACCGTGACACTCGTGTTTGCCCATGCGTTTTGCCGGAACTTATACAACCAATCACGAGGAATGCGACATCCGAAAGCTTGACACTCCGGCTTTTGAGGCGTCATTTGTTGCCATCTGGGTACTGCTTTGGACGTATGGATAGAGGAAAACGCTAAATGTCCCAGTCGAAGACGCCCTTTGGGCGCCGTAGCGCTGGTTTCCGCTGGCTACGGTCGCCTTGCCGACCGACGCACCCGTTCTGGTCGCACCGAACACGACTACTTCAGCCAAGGTTGCGGTGAAAACGCGTCGGTTAAAGAACATCTACGTCGACGACGGTCTTTCTATTTGTCCCAGTTTCAGGTTAATTATCGTCGCTCCAGGCAAATGCCTGTTTGCCATAGTGGCGTCGGTTACCGTGCGGCCGATTCAGTTGGAGTCTCGTTACTAACGGCATAGGTGCGGGAAGGTGACGTAGCTTCCCTATGACGTGGGCCGGGCAGCTCGTTTTACTGATCTAAATGTTCTAGTATTTCTCGAACTCTGGTGTCACGATCGAGCGGAGAGGTACAACTAAAGGCTGTTGCAGGTTAAGAAGCATGATTGAGCTTTTCCTGCAAATCCCTCTTTCCACCTTTGTGTAGCAAATGCTGGAGTTGAGGAAACCGGCCATCGTGGGCGAGCGGAGAGCTTTGTGGGAGCTGCTCGCCCCAATTTTTCTTAACCCACAACCAACTATAGCTGGACATATTTTTTAAGGGTCGAGAATTGTAAACTTTTCAGTTTATTGGAATAAGAACGGTCCGTCCGACGAAATAGTTTCCCCACGCATTTTACGGTAGCAGTGTGCACTCGTTAACCATACTGCGTGTTGACTTAATCCTTAATCTTCAAATTATTAAAAAAAAAAGCATGCAATCTCTCAAAATATTTTTATGTAGTCATAATTGTTTTTTGTTTTTCTGATTATAAAAACGTCTTACTCCATCGGATCGATTTCTGGTTGAAATTAACGCAAACATCTTTAAAAAACAAGTGGCTTTTAAGGGCAGCTTTCTCTTAATGCATGCGAGAGTAAGACAGTGTATTGAAACAGGCCGTATTTATTTGAACCGACATGCCGTTACAGTCAAGTGCGTAGACGTTGCTTCATTTTGGCAGCGGGTTTTCAATGTTGACGCGCTGACGCGCAAGTCACGGGCACTACCTAGCTCGTCATTGTGGCCGCTGTTGCTCTTGTCATCCGAAGCCGTCTCATATTCACGAGCAATGTCAGAATCGCTCTGGGAGGCAAATTCGAGGTCTTCAGCATCGCTGCTGTCCGAACAACTGCAAGAAACAGCTCTTTTCCAGGGGACATCGCCATCACCGGCATTCCTCGTGCCTGCCACCATTTTCAAATCACCGTTGCCAGGCCATTGACTGTTGTCAGGCTAAACATGCAGCAAAGGCACGAGCTACAATTTTTTTCTGGACTTCTACTGCCCCCTGGTCTTGAAAACAGAAACCAAAACCAATTACCGATAGTAACTCATCTTTGGCGCAGAGAGCGGCACGGCGTCGGTGTGGACGGGTGTGGCTTGTCATTGGCAATATTGGTACAAACTCTAATGACGAGTACAGGTTGGGCCTGGGGGGCTAAAGGGTTAACTCCACCGAAGGTGAAAGGCACTGCCCCAGCGAGTCAGTCGGAGTGACGGAGCGGAATGCGTGACTTTTCTCCGCAAGAGGACTGTACTCAAATGGTGGTGCCTCGACGCGGTCCTCGCTCCGATTCTCGGACCAACTCGCCGGTGCATTCTCCGTCTGCCGAGTTGCACTGGAACGAAGCGTGGACCCTCGTCTGTGGACCGCAGGAGCACCAGGATTACGAGGTGGTGCAGTCGAGCCAGCCGGAACTGAACAAGGCGGTGGTGCGGGTGACGGTGTTTCACGAGGAGCACCGGCAGGTGGTGCAGTGGGTGCACCCTGGGGACTCGCACCTGCTGGGCCAGGCGGAGCTTCTGGTGGTGGACGAGGCGGCGGCCATCCCCCTGCCCCTGGTCCAGAAACTGCTCGGGCCCTACCTCGTCTTCCTCTCCTCCACCGTCAACGGGTGAGGAAAGTTGTCTCCGCAATGGGCGGGCCGTTGTTGGCTGCCGACAAAATTGGCGCACCGTCTGGGCCGGCTTGCAGATTGCTGCGCCTGTCTCGCTTGACAAGTCCTATAGCCGCTTGAAGGATTTTCGGGTCGCGTGGCCGGTTCCATGGAGAGAAAGTGCATGGCGCTCTGCTGAATCTGCCCATCATTTTAATTATTCTCACTTAATGCGACCGTCCCCAGAAACCACCTTATACGTGCATTTTCCAAAGTGCGCGAATGTGGCTAATCTTACTTGCATTTCTAGTCAGTCCCCATTTTTGGAGCCAGTCAGTCCCTGTTACTCCGGAAAAGATGCCCATATCGATTGGCAAACCAAACCGGGTGTGGTCGGACAATGTTCCCGACAGTTGGCCAACGCAATGCGAGTTGCCACGCGATCCACCGGGAAGGTCCGCTATTTTTTTGTCCTCTGGGCAGCACAGCCTCTGTGCCTTTGTGGATGTTTGTTTTCGTGTCGAGTGTTTTGCGGCTGCGTTTTTCGAGTTAAATCGTGCGATAGGGACGACGTCTTCACAAAAGTGTTTCTTTAATCTGGACAGCATTAAATATTCAACATCCTTCCCAGCCTCAGAAAACTACAGCTAGAATTTTAAAACTCATCTGAAGGTCAAAAGAATCCCGCGGCTGCCTCGGCATTGTCCCCGTTTTTCGGCGCAGTGTTCAGTTCGGCCTAACCCAACCAAGCCAACTACATTATCTAAACAAATGAAAGAATGAGCGTGGAAGTGGGGGAGCAATGAACACAACCAGCTTGTTTGGGAGTAGAGACTACCGTTATCGCTTTTATGAATGCCGTAATTGATTTGACTAGCCTACGTGAAAGTGCGGAACGACGCAACGGGCATCATCACTGACTCGGGGTTGCTAACCCTGTCAAACCCCGAGGTCTCGCAATGACGCGTCGCAGGGAATGGGACAAAACGGCCGTCGATCGGGAATTAGTTTCCACAGAAAACTCTCCGGCGGCGCGAGAGAATTGGATGCGGTAGACGCGGGCGCCGTGCGCTTCGAGGGTTTTCCCGAAGCCGCTCGCATTTGGAATGCTCTAGAAAGCGAAATACCAGCGACGCTCGCTTCCCACGACAGTTTGGCGGTGCACCGGCCTTCGCCTTTACGGTTTGCCATCTGTCCGGGGGTTCTTTCGTTTACGACACGCAGGGTACGAAACGGACGCCGCTCGAGAGAGTCCCCTGTCGGGGACGGAGGTAAAAGATGCGGACGACCGTGCTCGGTTGCTCGTATTGGCGGGACTATGGTCACCTACAAGATGAAAATGGGGGGCTTCTTTTTTGAATGCCCGGTCTCTGGCACTCGCTCTCCGCCTTCACCACGCTGTAGCTGTGTGAGCACGCTCGAGGCCCATGAGACGCCGACGTGCGGTCGAAGGTTGGAAACTCGTGCCAGAGGCAGGACGACTAAAACTCCTCTTTGCCGTTCTCGTGCGAGTGTTGTCTCGGCGGCTGAGAGGGCCCTCTGTTGCAGGTACGAAGGCACGGGCCGCTCCCTCTCCCTCAAGCTCATCCAGCAGCTCCGGCAGCAGTCTGCGGCCGGGGACGCTGGAAAGTCCTCCAGCGGTGAGTCACTGCTGCGCCAACAAAGCAATGGCGCCCTTCTAGTCTTGCCGGTTTAACAAGTACCGTAATACCCCCGTCGTCGCCCACGCCCCCTGCCACCCAAAATTCATAAAAAAGGTGGGGTGGGCCACGTCTCAGTGGGTACGCGCAAATCTTAAAAAATCTAAAATAAGCCCATTTTTCTGGAGGTATCTAGCACGACTGCACGGGAGATACATTCAACTCAAAACTCTCATTAGCTTCATTGTTTTATACTACGAGAAATGTTTGTGAAAAAAGTTTTACTATTGCAAAGTCTGTTGCTTGCATATGCATACAGCGCAAGCATTTGTTCCGTAAAAGCACATTCCTAAAGCCGCTATGTTCTTTTTGTTAGTAAAAAAAAAAAAGGAGTCGACAACAAACTAGAAAACCAACCAGGCACAACGAGCGAGCGAATGAGCGGAAGAAGCAACGCTGGGGAAGCGGGAAAGCCGACGAAAGACGATCGCATCGACAAATGCCTCGGCATTGGGCTAAGTCGGGCACCTTGTCAGTTGCGTGCTCAATTGCAAGGAGCAGGCTCTTGCGCAACTTCCTTGGGTGCATCCATAGGTGCAGGTTTGTGCGCAGCGTGCTGTCAATGTGGGTTGAGGCGGTGTTGCTGCATGGCGTGGACGGCGCCACGAACACGGGGCGCGAAATGGGACGCTTTACGAACTTCTCTCTGCGGCGTTCCAGTGAATCTTTATTTACCCGTTGGCCTTGTGTCAAACAGACAACCTCACCAACTGCGGTTGCCTGGAAGAATGACTGGGTTTAAGCTGGGCTAGTTGGTTCATTGCTTACGATGGGCCTGCTGATGGAGCTATAGAGTTATTATAATAAACACTAGAGATTTAACTGGCACTAGTGCCTACGCTACTTCCGGGGATGCAAATTGAAGCAGACAGCAACCAGTCTACTTTTGCGGTACCCTTGCGCATTCCTATGGGAAAATGCGCGTGCGTTTTTTCTCTTCACCGGAAAATGACACAGAGCACTTTGGTTATTTGGGTCGTACCGAATAGTATGTACCTTTATTAACATTCTAAAAGTGGAATTGCTTTAGTTAGCACATTTTTCTTCATCAATGAATGATGTTCAACTTAACTATATTTTAGGCCCAAACCTGTGTTCCACAGGGCTGTACGACACGAGAGCGCACGTGCACGCTTTGGGAATGATCGATGTTTAGGTCTTTGAACACATATTTTCTCGGATTAAACACTTTACGCCATATTATTGGTTGACCATGCAGACCTGTGAAAAGTCTAAAAAATAAAATTTTCGCAAACTCGAAATGAACACAACCCAATAATCGCATTCTGGCTGAATGTGCTATAAAGGTTTATTTCACATGGCGTTGCAAGATGGCATTGCATTTTGACGAGTGTCGACTTGCACCTCTTCTTGGGGGAAGCACCCGACCCGGTCCTATCACATCTTCGTGGTCACGGTCGATACCTCGGAGTGCAAGGCGCCGATTGCCTACTGTTGGTAGGCTGTGACTGACCATGCCTCCATACCTGCGGTTTCACTTTTAGAGTGGTTTTTAGCCTTCTTTTCTACCTCCAAGTGGGTCAGGTCACTTGGACCGGAAAATGACCAGACCTCCTGAAAGCCTTGAGAATCGGGGAAACCCCTGGTGACATTTGTTCCTACTTTACACCTGGGGACCTTTTTTGCGGGGACATTTCTTCTGGAACCCCCTACCAACCACGCTATAAAAAGGTGGTATTTGCAATTGCAGCATGAACCATACAGCCGTAAATTAAAGGGGTAAATTGAGACTTTCAGTTTATTGCCCAACATATTTTCCTGTTCATTGGTACCTCAGTGTCCACCAGCCTTGAACATATCGAAGACAACATCCACGAGCACAAAGCCCTCCAATATCGATCATTCCCAAGGCGTGCACATGCGCTCTCTTGTGGCGGTACTCTCCTGTCACATGCTCTCCTGTCGTGCACTCTCATGGTGCACGACACGAAAATGACTCTGTCTTTCATCTTTACAAGCGGTTAAAAACATTCAAAACGTAAAGAATAAACTATGTGGCTACGAAAGGTGTCTCTTTGTATTGTATTCTTTGCCGGGCAGCTTTCATAGGCACTTCTTCTCAAAGATTTCGAGCATGCGAGTGATGTTTTGAACGTAGAACAAGCACCTTCTCACTGAGCAGAAAGAATAAAGCCGTACATATTGAAAATCGGACTATATTACGTGACCTTCAATTTATTTCAATCATACATGCACAGGGAGTTACTGATCCAGTGTTACTGCATAGTTCTTGCCGTCTCTCTTAGTTTTCCAGGTGTCCTTCGTTCGTTCAGCACGTGTATCCCTCATGCCGAAAAGCGCCGACGTCGTGTTTGCGCCAACAGTGTCGGACAGTGCACATAAATACATGTACGAAGCTGTTTTAACAGTGTTTTAATGCAATGAATTAAAAAGACAAACGCCGTGACTGACCAGTTATTTCGTCTGCCTGACTGAGAAATGTTCCAAGCTACCTAGTACGTACGAATTAGTCGAGATATTTTCTCTTATTACCGAGCGTACGGAGAAAATTTACTACTTGTCCCCATAGAAATGCATTGCTGGAAGTCAGTTTTCGACTGGTTGCTATCTGCTTTAATTTGCAACAGCACACTAGCGCCAGTGTACACTAGAATAACTATTGATGGACCAGCGTGGTCCATCAGCTGGTTCATCAGTTTGGTTCATCAGCTTGGTTCATGAGCTTGACCTATCAGCTTGGCTTACGATAGACCAGTTTGGAGGACCTTGCCATGAAGGGCAAGGGGAGGAATGTGTCAGTGCCCCTTCAGTTGCATTGTGCCACAAGGAGGAAGCGTTCCTGCGGGGAGTTACGGCGTCTGAGCAAGGATAAAAGGAAGAATGCGAAACTGCCTCATCCTGAAAAGCAGACATTGAAAAGCAGCTAAGAGAAAAAGAAAATATGAGTTACGCGATAAAAGAGAAAGAAAATATTAATTACTCAAAAAGAGAAAAAGAAAAAGGGGAACATTAAACAGTTGCAATTCCAGCAGTGTGAATGCTGTTTTTTTGTGTGTCGAGGGGGGTTGTCAACTGAGATAGGGAAGCTCATTTGAGTTCACTGGTCGTTGGTGGCCCAATGACAGCGCTGTCGTGCAACTGTGGTCGATCGCGATTGACTATCGTTGGCTCACCGACAGTTGAGAGTGCCCATGTAACGAGGGTCCAGCGTACTTCGTTTGTAGGCGACCGTAGGCGCACGCAACTGGTTGCAGACAAGGCGTAGGTCTGCACGTGGACTCTCGACATCACGGGGTGAATCATGACGTACCAAAGGACCGCAAAGTGGACATACAGCGTCAGATATTCGGACAAAAGTCTGTTGTTGGAGTAAAGGGTCCAATAAACCTCCTATCCTCGCAATTACTTCAGTTACAAGAAGGGGGCTCCTTGCAATCCAAGAGCACTAAAAATTCAAGACCCTACACGCACCCACAAAAAGCTTCTCATCACAACATGCTTGTGGCACGTTCTACTCCCGCAACAACCTGCTAAAGGCGTCATGCTGTTTGTGGGCACGTATCAAATAAATAAAATAAATAATGAATAAATATTTAAACTTTCCTCCATCCTTCTGATGAACCTGGATGTCGTGTGTGAGGCGCATCCGAAACCACCCAAAACTTCTCGCAACCAAGCATAGCATATCATAACGCACGCGTATTACACGCACGACACATTACATTCTGTGCTTTCTGGGTTTATCGCAATGGTCGAGGAAAATTTGATGTTTCGTTGCCCGTGGTATTTTTCATTGCCTGGCGGCATTAGGAACGCTATCCGCCCGTTGCCTGCACGTGAGCAGGCAACAGTGAAGACGTTTTGAAGGACGCTCTTCCGTCGAGCTTGCCAACTAATAGACCAGGGGTGGCCAGGCTGGCCTGGCCTAAGAGCCGCAAACAAAACTACGGAGCTTCTAAGAGCCGCAGGGGGGGGGGGGGGGGGGGGGAAGGGGGAAGGGGGCAAACATAACTTTTGTTCAGAGTCTGACTGTACGTATGGGGGCGCAAGGCTGTACGACTGTACGTATGGGAGTATAAGGCTGGCAAACTGCAAGCTGCAGTGTGCTTTATTCTGAAATCCTTTCTTTTTTTTTCCTGGGGAAATGCAGAAAGGGGCGAAGGAGGGGAGGGGGGGGGGTGTCCCCTTACGAGGGATCCGCAAGCTGCACTTGGACCAGCAAAGAGCCGCATGCGGCTCGCGAGCCGCGGTTTGGCCACCCCTGTAATAGACCAAAGAACGTTGCTCGCGATAGTGTTCCGAATTTCAACAGTGTTGATTTGGAAGGTGTACATACTTTTACTAGCGTTCGCCTCCAAGTCGCCTCCGGTGAGTTCGCGTGTGCATAGAACTCGTGTCGGAAGAGGTTTGTTTCGGTGCCGAGGCCCATGGCACGCCCTGGCGGGCCCCGTAGGCTGACGCCTCGGACCTTTTGGAGAAAAGGGGCGTTTCCTGACTGTCCCCCGTCCCCAGGGGGCCGCGTGCTGCACGAGGTGTCGCTCTCCGAGTCGATCCGCTACCGTCCCGGGGACCCCGTGGAGGCCTGGCTCAACCGGCTGCTCTGCCTGGACGCCAACGTGCCGCCCGCCAGCGGCTGCCCGCCCCCTGGGGACTGCCAGCTATATCCTTTACACGCCCTCCACCATGCTGCTGGGAAAGCCCCCGCTCTGTTGGCCCCCGCTTTTTGTCTGCTTTCTCGGCCGCTTAACATATAGAGGGTGTCCCAGGTTACCAGGGTTAATCTAAGATGGACCGTAAAAATTGACGCCTGCTACGTGCGTCGATTTTCTGCTCTTTCCCTTCTTTGGCAGCCTCCGGGTCGAATATCGCGTTTGCTCTCGTCCAAGGTCGAGAAAATTAATTTTTTGAGAGATCCGCTCCTGTGCACAATCTATGGCAAAACGTCCCACATTTTAACCAAAAAAAAGCGATTGAATGTTTATCAAAACTGGCTCGCTCAAACGTTCTTTGCCATTTACCGAGAACCGCCCGTAAATGTTTGACAAATACTTTTTTGACAAATTAAGTATAAAAAAAAAAAAAAAAAAATGGGCACCAGAAATTTGCTTAATCCTTTATCGTTTATAGCCACTTTTTGGCACAAAGTTAATTGACAATTCAGAGGAAAGCTTCCTTGCATTTCGGCTGCTTCGGAATGGCGGGTGTAGAAGTCGGTGGTTCCAATGAGACCATGTTGCTGGCGACGCTTTGATATGCGTAGAGAAGCAAGAAAACATGATTTGTAGAGAATCAAGAAGGAGAAAGACAAAGCGAGGGATGAAGACAAGGTACCGTATTTACTCGCATAATGAACACACTTTTTTTTTTTTCCGAAAAATTGACACATATTCGGGGGGGGGGGAGGGGACCCATTTATTACGCGGGTTCAAATATTTGCATTTACACACTTCATGCAAATGTCATATTAGGTGCCAAAATGACATAGCAAGGTACTGTGGCACATCTCCACTGACAGAGGTGGATCCGCAACTGGTCGGGAGTGTGCCTCAGTAACCATGCTTTATAAATTGCGAACCTTTTTAGGGCGCTTTCAGCGTGCTTTTTGCCGAAGGAAATGCGCCCTACGAGGCTCACTCAGCACGGAGAGCATGCGACCGTTCTTAGGCCTGACCACTTTCACGATTTCACTGTCCGAAAGCGAACCACAAACGAGAGCGTGTTTGTTGGCATCAATGCATCCGATAGGCGAAGAATGTTTGTGGCTCGGCGATTCCTCGACCCAAGCTTCGTCAAGCGTTCGCGCCACTCGGTTTTACAATTGATCACTTCCGCAAATACGCCCTTGCAGCCATTACGAGAGCGGCTTGGCTTGTCTTTGCCCGACCACTTGGCGGCAAAAGAAAATTGGCTCGGTAAACTTGGTGGCTAGCTCAGTTGGACGGAATTCGAGACTCGTGGAGCCGAAAATTAAAGGTGCATTCATTACGCGGGGGAAAAAAAAAAAGCCAAAATATTGGTACCCGTTGTGGGGGGGTGCGTTCATTATGCGAGTAAATACGTAACCATTTTGTTCCATCTTGACTATGCTGCCTGGAGGGCATCTCCGTCCGGTGTGTCCTATCCTTTCACACGTCAGACGTTTGTTTAAAGTGGCAAGAAAGGATAATAATAATAATAATAATAATGTTTATTTTCCACCATAAGATGGTGGCGATCAGGGAAAAAAGCTGTCAGGTACAGCTTGACGTTTCCCTGACCGCCTACAGAAAGCAGCAACAGAGCCAGGAAAAAACGATATTCAAGATGAGAAAAGAAAAAAAATTGTACAATGATTGTCGCTATCACACATTTTAAAACAAAATTTTAGATTTCTTTTCCCCTTTTTTGCATTGAGGCAGGACAGACAGCAGAGATAAAATTATGCAAAAACTAGTTATAAAGATCACAAAGAAAGAAAGGCAACTACAGTGTAGACCGCATATAACGTATGTCGCGGGAGTCGCGAAAATCCGCACTATAAGCGGTACCGCACTATAACCAAAACATCCATTTTTCAGGCCAAAATACATGCCATGAGACAACTCACACTTGTGAAAAAAATTTATTTTATGTTAGATGAAAAATAAAGCTTAGTTTGAGGAAAGTCGTTATTTCACCTGACTAGTACAGTTCTGTCTCAAGTGTGTTACACATTTTGAAAGAAATGAGCAGCTTTTGCCTGGCGCAGCCTTTTAATGGCGTCGCGGGTTGCGGACGGACGTTGCGAGCGTTCAGGATTGCTAACCCTAATCACTTTTCTCCGGAGATGAAAACGCGTGAAAATTCGCATCCTTCACACGGTACGCGCCAGTAATACCTTGAACTTGAGCGCACGCATGAAATGCGCCAAATAAGAAATCCGGGCGATGTTCGAGGACACAAATGCTTAGAAATCACCACTGTAGTCGAAGTAAACAAACACGACGACACGGGCGTTTCTGCCGTCTTGACAGCGCCGCCACGACATCGCCGCACGAGTAGGTGGATCTTCCCTTCTAGTACGTGCTGGGTTATCATAGCGACACACAACGAAAATTCACAGTCAAGGATAGCGCTTTTACGCGGAACGATGAGATGAACGCCCTCTACGACGACGATCACAACCGACGCCGCGTTTGCAGATAGAACCAGCCGACCCGCGACCGGCATGTGCGCAACACTTCTCCTCGACCTGCGGTTGGTCTGTCGCTGCGGTTGTTTGTTTCCAACGCAGCGGAGGTGGCGGAGGGACGCACGCACGTGACAGACACGTGCGTGCGTCCCTCCGTCGCTATGGCAACTGAAGCCTTTCGCTTCTTCCCGCTTCTTCGAGCAACTCGGCTCTGGAGCAACTGCCACGCGAGTGCCGCTCAGTGTTGCCAGATGGAGAAGAAAAAAGTGAGCAGATTGATCCCCAAAAAGTCAGTAGATTTGCACAAAAATCAGTAGATTCCACGAAATATGTGGTTTGCCATGTTTTGCTATCTCCATTAATACACACTTCGAAGAAATACTATAGAGTAACAAAAAACATGGTAATAAACACAAATAAAAATGAAAGAAAAAAACAAGACCAGTTCTCGGGTAACTTTATATGAAGGACAAAATAAAATGGCACCATAAATGTTTTTGTTTTAGTCATTATTGACTATTTCGAGGATTATTCTTTGAAATCGAGACTGAGGGCACTTTTGGGATCACAGATGAAGGCGACAGTGCGACGTTCACCTGTCGCTATTATTGAAACGAAACCGAAACAAGACGCTCCGGCAAGTGCGCGCGAACATGTCCAATGGAAGTCCTCTGCATGCTGCCATCTTTCCTTACTGGGCCTTGGAAGGTTTTTGAAGCAACGCTGTTAATCCGGAGCACTGTTGAGGCTACGCGTCGTCTGCTACGGGCTTATTTCTTTTTCGCCTGACCCAAAGTTTGCATTCAAACGTGGAGAAACTTCATTCGTTAGCTTTTTAAGCCACCGAGGATTAGGATTATATCATTTTATTGCCACAGCCTGCCAAATAAAAGAAAATAATTGAAATTTGGATGTCGATCCCATGCATTCCGCCGAACGAATGAATGAAAATTGCGGCTCTCTCCGCTCAACTCGGAGCTATTCTAGTAGATTGTATTGGAGCAGCCGAGAGTTCAGGCGCATGCGCAAACACCTCTCGCTCTGCGCCGCGGCTGATTGGCTCACTCGGGAGAGGGCCGTTACGGCGAGATATAGACTAGCCAAACTCTCTCCATATATGGCTCTGATCGGATGTCACCGTCGAACCTGCCGAACCTGCTCTGGGTGAATAGATAGATGAATATACGGCTACGTCACTCGAATAGGACGGGCTTCTGGGCCATCTAGCCAGTGCTTCGTTTTTAATTCTGGGACATTATGAGTTTCCTTTGATGGGCGGCACTGGGAACTGAAGGGGCCATATAATCAATTTTTAATATGTTTACTAAAAAAAAGTCAGTAGATTTTCTTGTTTTTCAGTGAATCAGTAGACCCGGAACGAAATCAGTAGATCTACTGATAAATCAGTAGACCTGGCAACACTGGTGCCGCTTGCTGCTCGCGCCGTCAGCGCCGTTATCTAGTGTCGCACAGGGAAGCGCGCTCGCTGCTCCGGTCGTCGGCGCGGCCGGCGGGCTGTGCCAGAAACCGCACTATAACCGGTATTTCCCTTCGCGTGCCTGCATTTTAAGCGGTATGTAATTACATGGAGTTCTATGGCAGGTGGACCGGTGGTTTAAAAAAACCGCGTTATACCCGGTCCTGCAGTATAAGCGGTTACGTTGTAAGTGGTCTATACTGTACCTTCAGCTGCTAGAGAAAAAAGATGATTTTACTTCTCTTAGGGATAACTTATCCCAATCTATACTTTTAGTCTTATACGAATTGAGTAAATTGGGGAGAGTGTATTTAAGCATTTGTTTGCCATAGTTTGTTCTTGGTGTAGCCACCTCCCAACATTCAGCACCTCGGGTAGGGTAATTATGAACATTTTTTGATAAATTTCCAAGATCTGTTAAAAAAGTTGAGTCTTTAAGTTGCTCTACTTTAAGGCTAGTGCTAAGCCTGTAATCATATAATGCATGCGCGTTTAATACGCGAAATTTTTGAAATAAGCCAGCTGTGTGAAAATCATACGAGACGGCAGCTATAGCCCTCAGTGCTTTTTTTTGCAATACATGTAACTTTTCTAGGTTTGTTAAAGTTGTTGTTCCCCAAACTAAATGGCAATAATTTAAGTGAGAATAAAATAGAGAATTATATATTAATAATTTAACGCTTGTTGGTTACTTTTTTGTGTTGTTAAATTAAGAAAAAAAAATGTTCTCTAATGTCGGTGATTTTAAAATTTTTATTGGAACATTTTAATTTGTTTGATTTGAATATTGTAGAAATATTTAGGATCGTTTAAATATGATTGTGTTCCCTGTACATGCAAGGGCACCGGACCCAGTCAAGCTAGCTTCTGTCAGCTTTTTGTCCGGTGTCCTCGGCATAATGTTGCTGAAATAAAGTTCAAAGTTCAAAATATAACGATGTCGATTTAACATGCCCACAGTTTGGGATAGCTTTGGAATAAGAGAGTTTATATGACTTTCCCACGACATATTTTCAGAAAACATGACACCTAAGAGTTTAAAACAATTCACAATCTCGATTTTGGTTGAATTCAAAACTATCTCCTTGGTAATGGTAACGGGTTTATTTTTCGGACGAAAAAGCACGGCTTTGGTTTTATTTACATTTATTTGTAATGCGTTGTAATGACTCCACGTTTGTAACCTAGACAGGGCCAGATTCGCCATATCGAATAATAGGTCAGGATCATCTGCAGAAAACAGTATGCTCGTGTCATCAGCATAGTTTACAAATTTTGCACTTACATTAATATTGACTATATCATTGACGTACATGTTAAAGAGGAAGGGGCCCAATATACTACCCTGTGGTACACCAGAAAGAATAGGTTTTATAGTGGAAGAAATCCCATTGATATAAACATATTGTGCTCGATGCTTCAGATAAGATCTTATCAGCTGTAAAGCGTGCCCTCGAATTCCATAATTATCTAATTTAGATAGTAAAATTTTATGATTGAGGCAGTCAAACGCCTTGGTGAAATCTATAAAGACTCCAAGAACCATATTTTTGTTTTCAAAGCTTTGTAAAATAAATTCTTTTGAAACAAGTAAGGCAGATTCTGTCGACTTGTGTTTTATAAATCCATACTTTGATGGAGTTATCAAGTTATACTTATTTGAAAATTTAGTCAAACGTGTATGAATAACCTTTTCGAGCGCCTTGGAAAACACTGAGTAATATTGAAATTGGCCTGTAGTTTCCCATTTCATTTACATTTCCTTTTTTATGCAAAACTGAAACTTTGGAAATCTGCATTCGCTTAGGAAAAATTCCAGTAGATAAAGAGATATTAAATATATGAGTTATTACAGGTGCTAACAGATGAATAACATGTTTTACCGGTCTTATCTGGATGCCATCGACGTCACAACTAGAACTATTTTTAAGCTGAAGAAACACTCTTATAATTTCTGGGTCGACGACGGGATCTAAAAATATTGAATCACTGTTTCGTTTATCATTTAAAACCAAAGGAGTTTCGGTTTCAGTAGTACCCAGAATATTTACAAAATGTTCGTTAAAAGCATTTGCCAGTGAACATCCAGTAAGTTCAGTACCATTGCACAGAATTTTTTCAATTGAACTGAAGGGGCGATTACGATAAAGAAGATAATTTAGTTGCTTCCACATGATGTCAGTGCGTCCTTGTGTGGCCTTGAACAAATCAAAATGATAACGCGTTCTGGCGCGCTTTAGTTCTTTTGTCAGGTTGTTGCGATAGTTTTTAAATACTTTAAGGTCCTTCTGGTCCTTGGATTTTATGAATTTACCATATAAGGCGTTTTTTATCTCAATTTTACTGAGTAAATCTCTCGTTATCCAAGGCTTGTTTATGCGCTTGTTTGTTTTAATAGAAGTGAAAGGAAAATATGTCTTATACAGTCGAAGAAATAACTCTATAAAAGTGTTATACGCCCCGTCAGCAGTATCCTCACACAGTACCCGGCTCCAATTTGTATTTGAAACAGCGGTCTGAAAAGCGTTGAGTCGATCTAAAGTTATTTTTTGTACTAATGTCCGCTCTGTCCTACAATTTTTTTTCGGGACACTTTTGAGAGAAATGAATATTGGGAGGTGGTCACTCAGATCGCAAACAATGACGCCAGCTTTTATATAATCGACTGAGCTGTTTGAAATAAACAAATCAATTAATGTTTCAGATTGGAGAGTAACACGTGTAGGTCTATTAATAACATTTGCACAACCATATGTCCTGATTAGCGAATCTAAACTTTTTTTAGCTACGGTTTCCGCGCTCATATCAATATTAAAGTCCCCACCACAAATTACATTACATTTTTCTTCATTAACAAAAACCAAAAAAGACTCGAAAAATTTTAAAAACGATTCAATGTTGCCGTTTGGTGGTCGGTACACCACAGCAAAGATATTCTGGTTATTGCGTATACACATCATTTCATAATCTTGAGTGATGCAACTATAATCACCTATTACTTCACCAGAAATACTTTTTGTCAAAATGGCTAAGCCACCACCACGTTTCTCTTTACGATTTATGTAAAAACAGTAGTATGTAGGGAGTTGTAATACGTCAGTCTCTTCAGTGTACCAGGTTTCTGTAAGCATGATGACATCGAAAGAAAAACCAAATTGATCGAAAAGTAGCTCAAGGTCTACAGCTTTGCTTTTCGCAGACCGAACATTTAAATGGAAACAGGTCATGTGTGAAATATAATCCGCACCAAGATAGGTTATCAAGTCCTGCGGAAGAACGAACGCGTCAATTGCCATAAAAAAACAAAAAGAACAGAGGATATTATCATCGACCGCCCTAAGATAGAAATTCGCGTATAAGATCCTGCAAAAATGCCCGTCTTTATCATCGTTAAAGTGACTTTTGAAGATAACGCCGTCGCAATAGCCGTACCCAGATTGTTTTTCTGCCACGCGGCAAGTAAACTTTCGGGTTTCATTTTGCAAGAACTAATAAAACAAAGATGTTTAGCGCTGGTAGTTCCTATTTAATTTTTTCAAGATCGCCTTCATGCTCAATCCGAATTGTCGGTGCGCCTTCTTGTTTTCTCACGTATGAACAACCTTCCTTGTGCCAAATAAACTTGTAGCTGAGGTGCTTCGCCTTTGTTCTAACATCGTAGAACAACTTCCGGTTCGACGCCGTCATGTTTTCTTGCAGGTACACGTTGCCATCATCGGCTTCCGACCTTAACTTTTGCTTGTTTTGAAGCCATGCATTTCGCTCATTTCTGTTCACAAAGTGCACAATCACCATAGGCGTCTTCTTTGTCCTAGTTGGAACGCGGTGGATTGCCTCTACGCTATCTTTCGTTAGGGGCGGAATTTCTATCAGATCCGCGATTTTGTTAAGCTTTTCGAGCAAATTTTCATTGATAGTTTCTACAAGACCGTGCACTTCAAGATTATTCCTTCGCCCATATTGTTCCAATTTGTTTAGTTCTTTTTTTAGTTGGGTAGTTTCGTCCGTTTTCCGTTCTTGTTCTAGTTGATTCACCTTTTTCCTCAGTTCTTTTATTTCGCTGTCATGCTCTTTCATTTTTATTAAGACTTCATCGTAGTTGTCGGACATTGCTTGCACCGATTTCTCAATGTCCATCACAGTTTGTTTCATGCCCACCAGCTCATCCACTTGTTGCTTTAGTGGCGCGAGTATTGTTAACATACCCATTATACGGGTCAGTTGCTGTTGAACATCTGGCGATTCATCTTTTGACTGTTCATCTTCCAGAGCGCTGCGAGTTCTTGCTCTAGCACTCAGACACGTTTGGCATTTCCAAGTCTCTTTAAACCCTGGCTTTTTTCCCCGGAGGGACTTTTCGGTTACGCCTGCACAGGTACCAATATGGTAGCGAAAGCGACGTTCGCTTTCGCTACCATATTGTTTGCTCGAGCCTCTTCCCTTGCCATTCTGGGGGTTGGTGCTAGAACTCTCAGCAAACATAGAAGGGACACGAGTGTTGCCGTTGGCATCCCAACTTCTGGCTGCCAAAGCCTGCATCAAAGGCTCCGTTATACTCCGACGTCGAGCGTAGAAAACGCGGCGTAGCGCAGCTGACACCGATACCGATTGGTCACAGATATAGTGTTGCTGCTCGCCGGCCAATGAAAAGCCTACGTTCTGTGCTACGCTACGTTCTCTGCACTGAACGTCGAAGTATAACAGCCTTAACTGTCGAGCTGGGAAGGGACCTGCAGCTGAATGGGCGTCCGTTGCGTCCACCACCACCGCCGCGACATCACTAGGATAGCGGCAGGCGACGACGTGGCACTTGCCAACGTCGTCGGGCAGGATTCGAGGCACCGCTTTTTGAGGACGTAGTAAACGCACCATTCTGAGCGCAAGTTCAAATCGCCGTAGGAACGATTGTTATGTCCGTGCCCCCGCGCTTTCACTCATTCTCATGAGTGTCATTCTCTTCCCTATCCACACGTTTGTGCCTTTTTGTGCGGTTCCACCTTCCCCTTTTGGCTCCTTGACGCCCTGGCACATTCTACGTGAACCGGGACACCCTGTTCAGCTACCACCGGGCCTCGGAGAGCTTCCTGCAGCAGGTGGTGTCTCTGTGTGTGGCCTCGCACTACAAGAACTCGCCCAACGACCTGCAGATGCTGTCGGACGCCCCCGCCCACCACCTCTTCGTGCTGCTGCCACCCGTGCAGCCTGATGCGAGGGCCCTGCCGCAGGTGCTCTGCGTGCTCCAGGTGAGTCCCCCCCGATCTGGAGTTTTTGGTCGATCCATTTTCAATCGATCGTTTTATCGCTTGTCTTCAATGTGTCGTCAAATCACCGATAATGGTTCTGTTGAAATTTGGGCAAGTTTGTTATGCAAGAAAAAGCTCAAAACCGGCAAAGATGGACAAAGCTAAAGACAGTTGCTCCTCGGTAAGCTCGACACATTTTGATAAAGAGACGATTCGAAATAAGAGAGTATGCGCGGGCGAGCTGGGCACCGATCGCACCGAAGAACCCCAGAGATGTGTGGACACAGAAAATGGAGACAAATGCAGCACCATTTAAAACACAACTTCAGATTTGCAACAGGAAAAGACATATCTGGAACACTTAACAACGACAGATGATCCGACAGAAAGGAAAACCCCCAAAACAACTCCCCCTAATCTTCCTAAAACAGAAAATCAACCCCTCTTCTTTCAAACCAGGCTTCCATGAAGTGAGAGCGGGAGAAAAAGTGAAAGCCGTTTACAACTCCCTGTAATGCCGAATTGGAGCGCAGCTCTTGAGGAGGAGGAGGGAACGGTACTAAGGGGAGGGTAGAACCCTCCTCCTCCTTCTCCTTCTCCCCTCATTCTTCAATATGCTCCGGGGGGTCACCTGACCTCAGGGGGAGGGGGTCACGTGACCTCGGGGGGGGGGGGGGGGGGTCGCGTGACTTCGGGGGGGAGGGGGGTCACATGACCTTGGGGTGAAGGTGACCCCTCCCCGCAAGGTCACGTGACCCCAAGGTCACGCGGCCTTGCGGGGTCACATGACCTTTGGGGTCACACCGGCAACGACGGCGACGCTGACGCCGCTCAAGCCGGAAACGGGCACCTAAGAGCTGCGCTCTAAGATAGAATAGAATTGACAGAAGAAGCAAACCTTGAGACACTCGTTGAAATAACAAAGCCACCCCTACGTTCACAGAAACTCTCGGTGAACAACCAAAGCTACCCAACTACATACCCAGAAACCTTTTCATTTCACTGTCGAAAAAGAGGGAAGGTTGGCTTATACAATTACATGAGCTGATAATTCACATTGTTTCTTTCAGGACTCTCCTCCCTCCCTCTCTTTGTGCAAAACTTGCATTCTCTCTCATTCAGGTTGACAGTTGTTACACTCTACCACATGCTTAGCTATTTCAGAGTGCTCCAGGATCCTGTCATTTAAACAGCGACCTGTTTGCCCCATGTACGAGAGCCCACAACGGAATATTGCATGCAACCCTTCCTTGGCAAATTACAGCTGGGTCCCTATGTTTCTTCTGACGTCCCAGGACAGACCCCGGAAAAGGGGTCATCTTCTCTAGTGTGTGTAATCTCACCAAGGTTACACCAAACTTGTTCGCCACTGCCTCAATGTTATGAGAACACCATGACAGAAGGCTCGAAAACTATATTTTTAAGACCGCTTTGTTTCTACAGGAACCGAGCTGAACTTTTGCTACAGTTTGGACACCGCACTGGAAATGATTTCTCGCAAATACAGTAAAACCTCGTTATAACAAAATGGGATGTAACAAACTAATGGATATAACAAAGCAATCATAATTCCCCTTGCTTGCTAATAGTGGAGAGATGGACATTGGCTATAACAAACTAATGGTTATAACAAAATAATTAGGACCGCTCCTTCAACTTTGTTATAACGAGATTTTACTGTACCCCATTTCCAAAAGACGTCCCACTTGCTTTTCGACCACCCTCTCAATCTAGTGTACGCAATGTATTGAACACAGACACAATGACAGCTCTTTTTTCAATTTTAGGATGACAACTGTCTATGTACAGCCAACAAAGCTTTTGCAGAATCTCTGCCGTATTTCCAGCAGAGACCTCTGTCTAAACACTAGATTAGATCCAAATACTGTATTTTGCCTTCACGGGGCCTCTCCTCTGAAGGTGAAGTCATAGCATTTCCCTTACACACTTTGCCTGATATGCTCTATTGCAAATCAAAATAGTGTCTACGTATTGGCGAACAACCACACTTCCAATCGAGACAGACCCCAGGAAATTACTGACGTGACAATCCATCTTGTTGAAAAATATCTTCGACAAAAAAATTGAGAAACCAATGCACACGCCCTCTTTTTAAATGATGTGTGAGCCTAGAAGTAAAACTCCAAAATGCTCATAGAACTGTCCACATCAATTCCAGAAGAGGACTGACACTTTATCATATGCTCTTCTCAAAAGCTCAGGCAGATCCATAGAATAATATAAATTCTTTATGCCTCAGCACTTCCCACGAAGAGGAATCAAAAGCTCAATCAATTGCTCAGGGTTTCTGAGCGACAAGAGACTATCAACTCCCGCGAGGCAGTTCTGCAGAAAAACTGACAAGAGCTTCTGCCAAGCTCCATTTTTATTTACCGCAATTCTTAAAGAGGGACACCACTTTAAATTTGCAATTTTTTTGAAAAAAAAAAAAGATGTTTTTAACTTTTATCTATTGTGGTTCAACAACTAACACTGCACAATCCTGCAAATTTTTATTGCAATATCTGAAATATTTACAATGAAATAAAACATTTTTGATAAGCCGACGATGCAAAATCAAATGTTGTGGAAATGTGAAACTTTTGTTTCCTTTTTTCCAACAGCTATAGCTCCACACCATTACGGCCTAGACAGATGGTCGTACTCTCGATGGAAATAGCATTGATTCATAGTTTCAGTACATTAAACATATTAGCTTGAGAGTGAACACTCTTCGGGCAAGTACACCATACAAGTCCAGCTTTCCCGTAGAAGGGGATATGCACATGGCTAAGGATCGAAAATCCCACCCTGATTAAACAGAAAAGGAACTAAACCCAACATTTGTTTATAGAACGTCACGTGGGTTTGTCTGCTTTGTATTTCGACCATGCTTGTCCCGCCCCCAATTGCTGGTTCGTGTATTGCGAGCATATCCAATTCCTCACCCGCTTCACAATCAATGTCCACATGTCGGTAACAAAATGACACTCGAAGAAAGCGTTTTAAGGGGTGACACTGGCTAGAAATTTAACTTTTGAACTACTCAAGTCAAATTTGGGGGTCTTACGTGCCAAACCAACGACGGGCATCTGGCACGCCCCAGCAGAGGACTGAGGATTAATTTCGACCGCCTGGGGATCTTTGGACATGCAACCGAAAGCTCGGTTACACGTCCAAATTCCGCAATAAGCCTCCGTCAGATTTATTTATTTTTTATTTATTTATTTCGATACCTTCAAGGCCACACGGCATTACAGAAGGGAGTGGGGAAAAAACAAAAGTACAAAAAATAGAATTCCACACATATTAGTTAACATAATAGTTTTCAATGGCAGACTTGAATGCAGGAGCGTCTGTGATTGTGGCGATGGAGGTGGGCAGGTGGTTCCAGTCATTAGTAGTTTTTGGGATAAAAGAATCAAAAAAGAGCTTCGTGCGACTGAAAGGAACGTTGACTTTATGGTGATGATCATTTCGATGGGATACATACGATGGTTCAGAAAAAAGCTCTTCACTTAGATGCTGGTTGTGATGATAAATTTTGTGAAATAAGGACAAACGAGATAATTTTCTACGTAATGAAAGATTCGGAAGATGTAAAGTTAGTTTCGTGGATGATACACTGGAAAAACGCGAGAAATTAGACAAAATAAAACGTGCGCCACGATTTTGTACGGATTCAATTTGATTAATTAGAAATTCATGGCCTGGGTCCCACACCGAACTCGCATACTCAAGCTTGGATCTAACGAGGGTCTTGTACAGTAGTAGTTTTAATGATGAAGGAGCCCTTGAGAAGTTGCGGCGTAAGTAACGTAGCATGCGATTAGCGTTGTTAGCAATAAAATTAATGTGAGTTTGCCAGGAGAGGTCAGATGTTATATGGACACCTAGGTACTTGTACGATGTCATCTGTTCAAGAACAGAACCAATGTTGTATTGAGGAAAGTTAGTACAGGCAGCTTTCCGTGAAATTCTCATTACTTTACATTTACTGGCATTAGGGTGCATTTTCCAGACGTCACACCAGTTAGTAATGGAATTAAGGTCAGTCTGAAGAATCTGACGGAGGCTTATTGCGGGCACCTCGGCCAGGATTCGAACCTGCCACCTGGGGATCCGTAGGCCGGCGCTCTCGCCTCGGAGCCACCGAGGCGGCTGAACTACTCAAGTGATCGGAATGAAATTTGCGGGGGAGATTTAGCGTCAGATGTAGTTGCATTGTGCGAACTTTCAGCTCTTTAGGACAACTTTACATACCTGCATAAGAAGATGTGTCACTCTTTATTAAGAAATCTATGATATGCAAATGAAGCTATTAAGTACCATTTGACTGCTAGAATAGGAAGTGGGGGATGTGGAACTTCGGGTTATCTAGTTTTTATAACTCAAATGTAAGTATTTCAGGAACGGTGAGCACCTCAAAATATAAGATGCATATCTGTTCTATGTCAGTTCTTGGAAATATGTTTTTTTCTTTTTTCCAACGAAGACTTCTTCTTAAAACAAAATAAAGTAGATAGCCCAATTCCCCAGTAAATTTCAGTTCGGAAACATCTTGATTCTGGTATCAGAATACTTTTACCTTCGAACAAAAGATTCCTTCGCGTGAAATTTGCAACAAAAAGCAGAACTTAAAAAAAATGCATTCAAACATTGAACTTCTTTACTTTGTTACTGCCTCACAATCTGTAGAAAATATTTTATATCAACGTAACTATTTGGCGTACGGTTATCAAATTTAGTGTCAGGGTGTATAATTAGTTTCTAAAACCAAAAACCTCAAAAATTAAATAGAATTTTTTTTTTTTTTTAAACATTTAAATTTAGGCCCATGTCCCCCCTTAAGCCCGGACTCACTCAGCGTAGCCATGCAGGAGATTGAGTGTAAGCAGAAGACACCACATCTGCTCTTGGTGCCTTTTAGTTGCCACCACCACCAGTGAGAGCAAATGGAGTGGTGTGGAAACTTCAGATAAGTTTTTCTCAGTTTCACTTTTTTGCAGCAACTTTCGTTTTAAGAAATCTATCATTTCAAGGAATCGCAGAATTTACTCTTTGTGTGGATGTTTCTGAACTAGAATTTAATGAGCATTGTGGCTAGATTTTTAATTTTCTCTTTAAATGAACTTATTGCCAAAAAGTATGGTTTTGATGAGTAGAAAATGCCCCATTATGTGGAACACTTTTCAGATTGACATTTTTATAGAAAAAGTGTAGATTTCAGGGTAAAAATTAGATAGCCGCACCCCCCCCCCCCCCCCCCCCCCCCTTATGTTCTAGTTGTATCGAATGACACAAGCTGTGGGGTAGTGATTAAAGAAAAGAGCATGAAGTTTAATGGGGCGTCCTTAAAATAGCCTACGGTGGCACTGCTCACGGTGCGGCAGGTTGCCAGAGTAGCAGCACCGTTACACTAGTTACAGCTGAAGCTTAGAAATGCTCAGTATCTTGCAGCAATTTTATATGATAGATTTCCTTGCCAAGTGAGGCGACTTACATCAATAGCTGTAGACCTCCCCAATAGCTTATTGGAAAATTGCCGTACGGAGATAAAATGTCTTACTATACTGCATTTAGGCAGTGAAATGAATTTCAGAAAATTGGGAATCTAACAAATATGCACTCCAATAAACCCAGGCTTTTGTGCAAAAAATAAACTTTGAAAAGCACCCTCCGAGTTTGGCGTGAAATAAACACGGAAAATACAGAATCCTACTTATATATCAACTTTTTTGTAAAAATGACCACTCGTAGGGGGGGGTGCAACTTATAGACCGGAGCTAATGGTAGTTCAACGGGGCCTGGAACGAAACGGGCAGCCAGGAACGACGCGTTTCTAGAATCGTGACCCTCCCCTTCGCAGGTGTGCTACGAGGGCGGCATCTCCCGGGCCAGCGTGTCGGACAACTTTGCTCGGGGCAGGAGGGCCCACGGGGACCTCATCCCCTGGACCGTGTCCCAGCAGGTGAGCACACCTCCTCCTCTCCCTCGGGCTCTGCGTAGCTCAGGTGCTCGGGGGATAAATTTGCGATACTCGCAGAATCATACTCTGGGGAATTTCCTGGTTGCGGTTACACGTTTTGTTTCCTACGTCCATCCATCGCACATTCGTCTCACTCCCCCCCCCCCCCACACATGTCACACACGTCCCATCGCCTGTCGCACGGCTTGGCCTTTCTACGCCAAAAGAATCGGGGAGCCGTCGCAACAACGGCAGCAGTGCTTAGACATACACACGGAATACTTGGAAAACCTGGCATAGTTTTCTTCTCGTCAGATTTTTAAAGTGATGGCTTTATACCGTATTTATTTGAATATAAGGCGAGGCTTTTTTACAAAATCCGTAATCCCAAAGCCATACCCCGCCTTATATTCGAAGCTCAGTATAGCAATATGACATTTTTTTTTCTTTTTCTTAGGTCCTTCACTGCCCCCTCGCCTTATAATTGTGACCGCCTTATATTCGAACAGATACGGTACTGTAAAGTTCAGAAAGAATGTGCACCCAAAATGAAGAGACAAATGGCAAAAAACATGAGGTGGGCTATCTTCAGGTATGCCACAGCAAAAGTTGATGAAAAATTAACGATCAATAGCGGGGCACCTGCTACAAACCATGTGACGTGAGAACTGGTACTCCAGATCGCGGACACCGCAAATTATCGTTTCACGATGCGATAAACACGCAAGATTCACTACAAAGTGCCTTGTTGTGGGAAAGGATGCTGTAAGTTGCGGACGCAGCAGATTCACATCTTGCATTGTGAAGGACTCGTGGAAACCCTTTGAGAACTTGCACCTCACGGGAACTAATAATGCAAATCACGGATGCAGCAGATTCAGGTTTTATGGTGCAATAAACACACGTGTAACTCGCAACAAACTTACTTGTGACGGGAACCGATATTGCGCGCACAGATCGCGGACAAAATGCGGGAATCCGCTACAAACTCGTATGTCACGAGAATAAATACCACAGATCGCGAACGCAGCAGAATTGTATTTCACAATGCAATATGCGCATGGGACCATCTCGTGGCTACGGGAATTGATGTCGCGCACGCAGGCCGTGAACAAAAACGCTGGAATCTGCTACAAACTTTCATGTCACGGGAATGGATACTGCAGATCGCAGACACAGCAGATTCACATTTCACGATGCAATATCAGTGATGTGATTGCTGCGCCAAGTGTGCCAAACTGCACTAAGGGGCTAACCCTGATACATCTTGGTACATTTTGCCAAAATATGGGTAATCTGTGCCAAGCCGGCGCCAAAGGACCAATTTTGTTCGCCTTTCAAAACCAAAACTAAACTGAGTACCGTAGTCGAGCATGCGTGAATTAGGTGGTGCAAGCCGCTGCTTGACATAAAATACCCTGCATCAATCGTCCATCCTGTCTTGCATGGTTTTTCCCGCCGTGTCTCGTTTCGCGTTTTCGTCGTCTCGTGGGTCTCGTTTCGCGTCTTTTTAAAACTTTTGCAACTATAGATGCAAGTATATGCGGACGCTCCGACGCTAGCGTGCCGGGTACCAGCCCTGCCGTCATGCTGTGAAACGAAACCACGTTGTTGCATGGCGGGAGTGAGCTGAAGCACTCGCTCCTGAAAGCAACGGCCGTGGGAAAACTATCTTTGGTCCCTGCCTAGCAGTCACCGTGGTTGCATGACGTCAAGTGTTGCCGTCCCCGGGTCGCTGCAGATAGGGCGCTTTCTAAACTGAAACGTAAGGACTGGTGCAAGGTCATCAACATTCATGTTTTTGTTTAAATCATATGCTACTACAAAAGTCCCTCTTTAACTCGGACTGCTGTGTCTAAGTATTAATTACCTAGGTTTCTTTCGGTGGGCTTTCTTTCGAAAGGAACCTCGGACGTGAAAAATCTGCCGCGAAAGAAAGTTGGCGAAGAGAAGTGAGCTAAAGCAAAGAAGCCAATGTCTGCACGCTGAAGCCGTACAGTGCGCTTGTTTGTCTCGAGTTCAGTCGTTGGACACAGCGCTACAAGAACTTTTTGACCCTGGCTCACAATGTCTTGCATCAGTGCGCTCAGGTTCTTTTTTTTGTGTGTGTGTTTAGCTTGTACCTTGTTTGCCGACCTGGCAAGCACGCCCTGCTGGACCGTTTTTTGTTGTATGCTGGACATTTGGCATACAATTTTGGGAGCCTATTGGCGACGGAGCGGGGTGGCATGGTTTCGGTTTCGATCGAACGGCCATTGTCTGCTTGCGCGACGAAGCACGTGCAACTGCAACCTGCCGAAGTTGCCCTCACGTGTATGTGAACTTGATTGCACGACAGAGGCACCAGCCGGGACGCTTGCAATCCATTTCTTTACGTTTGCTTAATTTTGACGAAAATCTGACACGTCGGGAACTAGTAAAATGGTGGCCAGCGGTTTTTCGGAATTGCTCGGCAATGCCTACAGCACTGTACACTTGTGGGATGTCTCAATGTCTCTTTGGACACATTAAAAGTGGACATTCATTACTTGCCAAAGGCAAAGCGAGGATTACAGCAGCCTTGCAGAAAGTTTGGAAAAGCAAAAAGAAAAGCACCCACTAGTTGTAATGCACCTTTTTCTTGTGTACAATTTTGCATTGCACTGCAGTAGTTACGTGTTTCATCAGTCCGAGAGTGCTTCAATTTATTATATTATATAACTAGTTAACGTAATGCTGTGACGTTTAGTACTAAGCTGCTCATTTTGAAATAAACTTTTATGTGTGCAGTTTGGTTCTTATTTATCTATTGTGGGTACATGTATATGTCTGATTTAACTGAAGCATTGCAAAGTATGTCATGTCACCGGCATTTCACTTACGTGTTAAAAGACTCAGGTGGTCTAACCTGACCATAATTTGTTAATTGCAGTGAGCAAAGTTCCCTTCATTTGTCCAGCACTTAAAGCAATTCTTTTTTTTTTTTTTTCTAAGGATATCTGCTTCAAAAGCCACTTCTGCTGCTCCAAATCACTGCTTTGGCTGCTCCGAAAGGTGCTCCAAAATGGCTTAGGCCAATCACATCACTGCAATATACACACGGGAACAACTCGGCGTGTTAGGGGAGCCGATATTGCGCACGCAGATTGTAGATAAAAATGCATGAACCCGCTATGAACTCGCTTATCAGACGTACAGTACAGCAGATCGCGCAACAAATGCGATTCCCGTCGGACATCACTTGACGTCCAACGGGAATCGGGGGCTGGGCAATGTTTCGGAATTTCTGTGTTACAGATATTTAGCCAGAAAACCGGCATGGGCGCGGTGGTGGGTGTTCTCTCGGAACTTTACGGTAGGCGACAGGGGCGTAGCCAGGAGCTTATGGGGCTTTAGCCCTCCCTGTACACTGAACTCGCAATCTGCGGATGGGGAACTGCATATGTTTGCAGTCTTTCCACTTTTAATGCGTTAGCATTAGTGCCCTTGTACATGCGCCGACCTTGGACGGTTCGGAGCATTCAAAGTTCGCAACATCGCCACAGGATGGCTCAAAAGCCCCATTGGCTGTGGAGACTGGCTAGGAAACACCTTCTGCAAGCACCAACAGATGGTGGCGGGGTGCATATTTCGAGAGGCTAGGCGATAGGACGCGTAGCAATGGAGGGCGCACTGGATTGGCTGGTTATAGTGAGCGACGCCCCGTTGAACACCTAGCAACCGAAGATCGCAGGTGACGTCCCCTTTGCCAATTTCGGCGCTGTGCAGTGGGAGATGGCTGGTGCATCACTGGGCGCTTGTCTCCCCCGCCCCCCTTGGGATGCCCCGCCGTCCCCCACTCTACCTCAATTGCTACGTTTTACATCACACTCTGTATAACCAGCCAGTCCTGTGTGGTTGTCGTCGTTACACGTCGTATCGCCTAGCCTCTTGAAGTAAGCGGCCGGGGTGTGGGTGCACGCTTTACACGCCATTGGAAGGTCCTGCCTCCGGCTTTGCAGACCTGTGGATGCACTTGGGCTGCGGTTTTGCTGTTTGACCTGCCACGCCATTCTTGATGCGCAGTCGTCTCACCATGTCACCGGGCTGCGAGCGCACAGTGTCGTCGCTCTTTTATGCGCACGTATTACACGACAACAAAAGGGCTCTGCCGTTTTTCGTGCATCGTGCGCACGTTCTTTATGCTCACGCTAACTCACCTGAGCTTCTTGCAACAGGGAGGAAAGGGGTTTCGGGAACATTGACCCCCCCCCCCCCCCCCCCCTGGAGAAGTGCCGAGAGGCTGCATTCACTGTGCTTCGTTATATATACCAACTGCGTGAAATGCTGACGTGTTTCTTGGAGAGTCAGCATAATGGCAGCGGCGATTTCGGCCCTTTTTTTTTTTTTTTTTTCTCTCATTCAGACGGATTCTTGTTCCTCAACAAAACAAGGCTTTACTATGCTATCTTCATTCTTTTTTGTAGTCGCACACGTCCGGTGACCTTACGCTTGCGGTTGCGTCATTTGAATAGGATAGGTGTTTCGCAGATTGTGAGGTCCATAATTAAAGATTTTGAAGGGGCAGGTGATTATCAGAAAATTCTGTAATCCTATTTTTGTGGCTAAATATCTACAGTTGAAACTCGATTTTATGAAACCCGATTTTACGAATTTCCCGATTTGACTAAGAATATATATTTGACAGCTTGAACCAGGGGAAGATATAGAGAAATTGAGACAGGAGAGAATAGACAGCTGACTACTAACGATTATTTAGTGGGAACTTCTTTTTTCTTGCGTGTTTTCAGACACCAACAAAAATTATTAAATATTAAAACCTATTATACTAATATAATAATGCATGTGTATGTTTACAAAATTTTCACATTACCTAAACCTAAACTAATATTTTAAATTCACCCGCCACAAGCTCATACTGCCATTTTCTGGACCGTGACGCACCATAGATATTGTCTCTCCTTTTTGTGAATAGTGATGGACGGGGTGCTCACGCACCCACTCGCTTGTTCTTCGATAGCTAGCGCCTCGAGCATCTCGCGCGCATGAGTATTATTATTACTGGCTAGGATGGTTATGTCCTTGAACGCTGCACTGCAGTGGCAAGTCCTGCAATGAGCTGCAAGATGCCCTGCCGACGTTCCTTTAAGGGATGCTGCGTGCTCGCGGGCTCTGTCGTTAATGCATCGGCCCGTCTGGCCGATGTAGCACTTCCCGCATGAAAAGGGAATGTTGTAAACCACTCCTGTCATGCATGGTACATATTGTGTTCTGTGGGCAATGTTGCACGTTTTTTCTTTGCCTGTTCTGTTGTTAACTCGTCTGCACAGGGAGTACGCTTTGTTAGGCGCGGAGCATGCTACTTGGATCTCATTCCTCGCGGCGATCTTTTTCAATTTGTGCGTAATCCCGTGAACGTATGGTAGCACAGCGATCTTCCTTCGGGTTTCCTCGTTTACTTTTTTGCCCGACTTTGCACTCTTCAAGTTTCTGCAGATGGTCTCACAAACGGGTACCAAGATACTTGTTGGGTATCCCGAATTCCGTAATCGTGACATCTGTTTTTCAAAGCTCTGCCCTATCTGGTGTTTACATGATTCGTTTAAGGCAGAAACTAACGCCGTGCTGGCGATACCTCTCTTAATAGTTCTTGAGTGGCCAGAGGTAAACGGCAGAAACCCTTTTGCTGACCGGGGTTCGTACCTCCAGCAAACGTGCCCTTGTTGGAAAATTAGCGCGAGGTCTAGGAATTTGATATTTTTGTCCACAGGTGATTCATGTGTGAACACCAATTCGGGGCAACTTTCTTGAAACACTTGCAGAATAGTATCCTTGCATTCTTCACTCTGGTCGTCACCTTCTGTGGCACAAAGTACTAAAAAATCGTCCACATATCGGAAGATGGCTGTGACCCTTGTATCTGTCAGATTACTTGCGATGATCTTTCCGCATGCCCCCAGGAATAAGTCACACAATTGCGGCGCTACCCGAGACCCAATACACACTCCACTCTTTTGCACATATTGTTGATCTTGAAAGTCTACTACAGTGGAAGTCAAATATACACCTAATAGTTCCAAGAAGGTGCTCACACTTAGTCCAGCAGTATTCTGAAACGCTGTAGAGCCCTGCTCCTCGATGGTGGATCGGAGAATTGCCATGAGTCTTCTGTGTGGGATTGAGTAATACATATCTTGGATATCGATGGAAAATCCAGATGTGACGCTTTCTCCATTCTTCTTAAGATATTCAATTAAATGTTCCGAATTCTTAATTCTGTACGGATCGTCGGATTCTATCAAGGACAACTGTTTCGCCAGGAACGTCGACAAATGGACTTGCCAGGTTCCTCTTTCCGACACAATGGCCCGAAACGGTATGCCTTCCTTATGTGTTTTTGCTGAGAAAAAAACTTGCAGGTGTCCCTTCTTCGTTTTCTTTATTTTTGTGCTGAGGCTGTTAAGCTCGTTGTTATCATTATATTAGTATAATAGGTTTTAATATTTAATAATTTTTGTTGGTGTCTGAAAACACGCAAGAAAAAAGAAGTTCCCACTAAATAATCGTTGGTAGTCAGCTGTCTATTCTCTCCTGTCTCAATTTCTCTATATCTTCCCCTGGTTCAAGCTGTCAAATATATATATACAAGTATGTACCAACAAGCTCCACTATCAACCGTTACTCATTGACTAAGAACTTTAGATTTCTTCAACAGTTGTTCGTAGGCTTTTATGAACTCGAGATAACGAAACAAACTTGACCACAAAACTTCTCTTGACGACGTATTCTGGAAAAAAATATTCATAGTAAAAGAAGTTTTTCTAAAACTATGGCATCTAGAATGTCTGGCAGCGTGCTATTGGCGTAAGAACGGTACAATCAAGGCCGTGGAGGCATCCTCATTTTGGTTCTTAGGGACTTATAAACCGAAGCTGCACAGAAGGACACACTGCGCATTTCCTACCCGGCTTTGAATCGGTTTTACCAAATGGCTACAGCAACGGAAGTTGCTCGACGCCACGTGCGACTGGCGGCAGCATGGATGCCTCCTTTGCCGCTTTTGCCACGACCGGTTTTGTAACGCGAGCAAGAACAGTCGTCACCCAGTTGCTGGGAAGAGCTTCGTTGGCGAGATGAGGTGGCCGCAGATGGGAGGGAACTTGGACGACTTTGTGAACGCAGACACGGCGAGCGTTCTTGACAACGTGGAAATAGTGCAGCTTGTTTCGTAGCACAAGAGGAGCCTGTGCACCCTCTGCTCACAAAGCGCGCTTAGACAAAAATCACGAGCTTTTTCACTAGGCAATAAATTTGTCGTTCTCTGCAAGATTTTGTTTTTCGTCACTCGCAAGCAGCGGGGCTCTGGCTCATTCGCGAGCTTGTATGCACTTTTTTTTAAAGTTTGGCCCGTGGACTGCGGAAATGTCATACCACTGTAGTTTGTGGGATGCTGCTGCATTGATAGTTTTGATTGAATTCTATGCTCAATAAATGACTTTCTCAATTTTATGAAGTTCCAAATTTAAAATTTGCGGGTCCCGGTGGCTTAAGCTAAAAAGCGAGGTTCGACTGTATGACATAAGAATTCTAAAACATCGCCCACCCCCTATTTCACGCGGTTGACGCGATTCTCGTCGAACATTGCGCAACGTCGAACGGGAGTTTCATCAACCTCGTGATCTGTAGCACCGGTGCGTGTGACGAGCGAGTTCGTAGCGCGCTGGTGCTTTTTTGTTCGCGACCTGCACGTGCAATCTTGGTTCCCGTGACTCGCAAGTTGATCCCGTGCGTTCATTGCATCGTGAAATGCAAGTTTGCTGCATCCGCGATCTGCAATATCCGTTCCCGCGACATGCGAGTTTGTAGCGGGTTCTCGCAGTTTTTGGCCACGAATCTGCACTTGCAATATCGGTTCCCGCGTGCCCTTTGCACCCTGAAAAGCGAATCTGCGGTGTCCGCATTCCGCGATATCTTTCTCCCTGACGCAGGAGTTTGTAGCAAATTCCCGGGTGTTTATGGCATCGTGAAACTCGAATTTGCCGTGTCCGCAATCGGCGGTATCAGTTTCTGTTTCACATGGTTTGTAGCAGATGCCCCCTTGTTTCACCACCATTTTTGTTATAAACTTTCGTTTTTGCATTTGTAGAGGTAGCCCACCCCATGTTTTCCACCATTTATCTCTTCATTTCGGGTGGGCGTCCTTACGTCCCTCAAGGTAGAGTGGGCGATGACTGGCAACTTGGGATATTGTGGTTTACTTTTGCTTGCGCTGCCCCGCTTGCAGAGCATTGCACTGTGGGAATAGGTTTACAGTTTCAGAGTTCACACGTAAAGTGACAAGCAGCAGTGGCTAGTCTGAGCCAACAAGCCTCGCATACCAGTGTTGCAATGTTTGGGTTTTCTTGAACATATGCTGCAGCTGTGGTGGAGAATGTTTGTGCTCATTGTAGGGTGTGAAGCTGCCATAACTTGCTTTGATCTAGCTGATAATATGAGCTTCGGGGTCTACTTGTTTTATATCATTTACTAGCACAGCGTCTGCTCTTGTTTAGCTTCTGTGTTCCTCTAGCTCCAGAAATGTTTGTTCTTTGTTTTGAAAGTTGCTGGCCACTTTGTGTGAGCTTAGAGGCCATTGATGCAATTTGTGGTTTGTCTGCAGTTCCAAGACGAAGAGTTTGCTGGCTTGGCTGGGGCTCGCATTGTGAGGATTGCAACTCATCCCGAATACCAGAGGGTAAGTTTCTACTATAAAATAATTGCAAAAGAATTTGTACTTTTATTTACTTTTTTTTTTTTGTACACTCAAATGCTTTGGTATTGTGACAAGCATGTAGTGCCCTCTCCCGTCCACTCGTCGATGGCCGCCAGGCTTGGCGGGTGGACGGGAGAGGGCGCTACATGCTTGTCACAGAGAACACCTTTGCTGCGAAACAGTTTGTTTAACGAGGTAGACAAAGTGTTGTGTGTTTCTACTTCAATTGCTTTTTAGTGAATAGAATACACTGCCCTGCAATGTATAAAGGACCACTGCTACGGGTATTTCGGGTAGAAAGTAACCAAGTTTGTGTAACCCATTGTGCAAATGTCACAAATAACACGCTCAAGAGCATCATATAATTGCCGGTCACGACTGGCTCAGAGCTATAACCGTGCGTACATGGCCGAGAAACAGTCGTCTGTGGTAAGGACCGAAACCCGAGTGACCTCTATTCAGAATCCTCGCAACGAAGATAACATCGCTACCTAGCGCTTGCGCTAAGCAGCGACACATTGCGTACCGTGTCGCGCTAGTCACGCATCTCCATCGTGCATTTTGAGAATGAAAGACTCGATATACAACAATGTCCACAAGTTCAGTCGTACCCAAGCTTTCACTCTTTGCCCGTGTCACGTAAAATGGTCTTGAGGCATGGCACCATCGCCGCCACCTTGAATCCTGCGGCGAGGTAAGCTGCTGGCAAAGAGCATCGCAACTCGCAGGGCTCCGTGAACAGGGGCTGCAATGGCCGTCCTTCCCGACGTGTCTTGCGCCGTAACGTCCTACCACCGCGGGTCTGGAGTGCCAAACGGTGCCAAGTGCCGGCGACTGCGCCGAACTACTCCCGCTGATGTCTTCACCATGTACTGGTCCAGTCTCTGTTTGGGCCGGACCGAGCAATTTGGCGATGCGAGAAATATTGTCCAACCATGCGTCTTCCCCCATGGAAAAAAATCAAAGGCACTGAATGCGAGGATGCCGATCGAGGTTTGTTTCTTGTCTTCCCGCGACGGCCAAGCAGGAATTGGAGCTTCCCCTAGCTTGGGGACTCTGATTCGAAGACGTCGGCTGAAGAAGGGTTGCGATGGACTGCTTTCACTGCTCCGTGGCACTTTTCGGTACTCGGGAAGCACCTCGTGTGGGGTCTGGTACTCGAGAGCTCCTTCATCGTGTGCACCATTCTCTCGACTTCCCCATTTGTGGATATGGTGGAACCCCGGTTAGACGACTTTCACAAGACTGTGCGGATACATACTATCCACGGGCCTTATAATCCAGAAAACAATGATTATAACTTTGGCGATTAGCCTCTTGCGACAAAAACATGTGGAACTTCTCTACCGTATTTACTCGCATAATGAACACACTTTTTTTCCCAAAAAATTGACACATATTTGGCGTTTATTACACGGGGTAAAATTTTTGCATGGACACACTTCGTGCAAATGTCATGTTAGGTGCCAATACGACACGGCAAGGTACTGTGGCACGTTTCCAGTGATGAAGGCGCACCCATGGCTGTTCGGGGGCGCGCCACAATAACCATGCTTTATAAATTGCAAACCTCTTTAGGGCGCTTTCGGGGTGCCTTTTGCCTAAGGAAAAGCGACCTACGAAGCTCACTCAGCACGAAAAGCAACACGGCCGTTCTTAGGGGATATATATTGCTAGTATCCGGCGGGCACGCTCAGGTACAATCGGTTACTACGCGTATAAGAACTCGTACGAAGTCCAAGCCCCGACCGCCGAAGCCCGCTCGCATGGATCAAGTTTTGTTCACGGAGAAAAGAACTTCTACAAAGTCCGACCGCCAAGCCTGCTTGCACGGATCATGTTCATGTTTTGTCACGGAGACAAGAACTCGTACGAAGTCCAACCACCGGCCCCCGAGGCCCGCTCGCACAGGTCATGTTTCGTTCACAGAGAGGCTACCAGACACTCGCAGCCTACAGCACAGCGTGCACCTGTGCCATTCTGTTGCGGATCAAATAAGCGCATTTACCCAGAGTATATTAGGCCTAACCACTTCCACGATTTCACTGTCCAAAATTGGACCACAGAGGACGGCTTGTTTGTTGACATCAGTGCATCCGATAGGCGAAAAATGTTCGGGGCTCAGCAATTCTTTGACCCAAGCTTCATCAAGTCTGCGCGACACTCGGTTTCACGGTTGATCAGTTCCGTAACTACCACTACGCACTTGCGGCCATTACGAGAGCAGCTTGGCTTGACTTGGCCTGACCGCTTGGTGGCGAATGAAAATTGGCTTGGTGGCCTGCTAAATTGGACCCAATTCGAGACTCGCGGATCTGAAAATTGGAGGTGCGTTGATTACGGGAGAGAAAAAAAAAGTCAAAATATTGATGCCCGTTGTGGGGGGTGCGTTTATTATGCGAGTAAATACGGTAATTACTTAAAAGCAATAACCTGCTCAGTGAAAAAGAAAATGAAGCCTTCAGATTTATTTATTTATTTGATACCTACATCGCCCGGCGGGCATTACAGTAGGCAGGACAGAAATACACAAGCGAAACGAGCAACAAGAAAAATAACAAATCGTACGGGAGAAACATGCCGATATATGCTACATTAATATGAGAACACGATCAACAGCAAGCAGAGGCCGAAGAAAGTAAACCGTGTGAACAGACTACAATAACATGGTTTCATCAAAAAAGGATTGAACGTTGGGAAGCTCTACCAGTGAGTCGGGCAACATGTTCCAGTCACTAATTGTTTTAGGGGAAAAGTTAACGTTTCAGGATGTCTGTGTATGTGAAAAGTTCTTTGCACTGACTACCTTGGTTGGGACATAAATATTTACTAATTCCAGCATTTTATTTTTAAAGATATTCCACAAGGTATTCACATCAGTGGACACACTGTGCACTTCAAAATCAGACAAAAAAAATCATGAGATCAAAACTCATACTGTCATAATCCCCTCTATTGAACATGTATGTCTTTTGGGGTGGGTTTTTGTATCTGGGCACTTTCAAACATTTCAGGAATGCTACATCTGCCTCGTGATCTCTTATTCCTGGCACTACTGAAACAGAGGTTATTGATGGGAATCTATTACAAAGAATGATATCCAAAACACTTAAACGACTAAAGTCAACCATTGTGGGTTCAGTAACAAACTGACACAAATCAGTCATTAATAATGTTTGAATATGTGGCATGGAGCAACAATAAATTTCACGGGACGCTGATCTCTCCAAGGAACATCTGGTAGATAACTATCGCCACCCAGAACAACATAACCTAGTGCAACAACAGAAAGTGCAATATACAATGAGATAAATCTCAAGCTTACCTCTCTGATAACCTGGAACGCATACAAACCCACGCAGCCCGATTCATCGCATCAGCTTATACTCATGACATCAGTGTGACCCAACTTAAAGAAACTCTAGAACTACCCTTACTGTCCAGTCGAAGATTGAACTCTCGGTTATGTTTATTGCATAAGTTCTACTATAACTATCCATACACCCATACCACCCCTCTTGCTCCTCCAGACCGAGTATCATCACGCCTTAATCACAGTCAATGCATCAAGCGTATTGCAGGCAAAACGCTTGCCTTCAACACTTCCTTTTTCCCTCATGCAATAGCCATCTGGAACTCCCTTCCCGACGACATTGTAGTCATCACTGACCCAATAAAGTTTCGCCAGGAAGTCTCTTTACACAACCACTAACCATTCCCGACTAAACCATATCAGTACTTTGTGTTTTTTACTATTGTTATTTTGACTCTCTCCTTTTCCTATTTTTGTCGTTTTCAAGTGTCAAAGTGTATTTTAGTTCTCGTCTACTCCCCCCCTTATGTAATGCCCCACCCGGGCCCTTAAAGGGGCGGTGCAACGATTTTATGATTAAAAGAATTTGCATCTCGCCATTTTTACGTTGTTTATCGTGTCCCAAAGGATAGAAAAAACACTTCCTTAATTAAAAATGTTGCGATTCCGCTGCATAATCGCAAAGCAAAAGTCGAGATTTTTCCCCCACCTGCAGCCCCAAGTGGCAGCCGAAGGAACTGCGGCGGAAAGATTACGTGACCTCGCTCGGCTCTCAGCTGCAGCATAGCGCCCGCTAATGTCAGCAGAGAGAGGGAGGAGAAGCGTCCTCCGAGATAGCACACGGGAAGCTACACGGCACTCCGAATGACGTCACTGGGAGTGCGACCAGGTGTGACCCTGAAGACTGGGAGTGAGTTGAGGAGTGCCCGAAATACCAATCTTTATATTTTTTTTACGCAACAACTAGGACACGCAGGCAAAATCGGTTTTCTGTTCTTTACTTCAGAAGTGACAGAGGACAACTTCCAGAAACCTTTGACCGAAGTCTGAAAATTGTTGCACCGCCCCTTTAAGGATAAATAAATGGAATGGAATAAATGGTTGAGCAGTGCTCGATGGGGGCCTATAACCAACAGTTAAGCATTCACCTCGGGAGAGGAAAATCTTAGGCCACACCATTTCACAAGACACTCTGGTAATATCTGCAGGAATGCTATACAGGCTTTGATGAACAAGCAAAAGTTTACCACCACCGTGATTATCTCTATTGTTACGGTAGACAACAAAGTTTGGGGGGAAGACCTCAGTGTTCAAAAAACAGATGGATCAAGCCATGACTCAGTTCTAATAACAACGTCCGGAGTGGTGATTCCGAACACTTTGGCAGTTTACAATAAAGGTAATGTTATGGACTGACGCTGACAATGTCGCAGAAACAGTTTAAAATTGCTATCGATTACATTCTATGACGGTTTGGGAATCCATATCATAGATGTATGGGGTTGGCCCAATCGAGAGTTTATTAAATCTAAGCTTGAACAGAGGCTTTTTAAATTTGGCAAAATTGAGTAGTTTCCTACACTCCATCCAGACTTTAAGCGAGAAGTCTTGGCTAAGTCTCTACAACGTGTTTTTAAACGTCGGACTTTAAAGCAAAAGCTCTTGCTTC